GTGGATATCGCCATCATCAGTAGTAGTTTTGTGCAATATATTAGTTTACAAACCCATAAAGCATTATGGCGAATAGCCGAAGTCTGACAGATCAACAAACAACGAGTACAGACAGGCCGAAATGATCGGGATCCTGCCAGACTATCTTAAGAATCCAGAAACACCGTTAACAAGAGAATATAAAAATGAACCTTGGGTTAATCGGGAACGTACAATAACCAAAATTATTAATTATTTACTAATAATTTTGTGCCATTTGATATGGTCATACGCCGACATAAGATAAACGAGGGACGTTTTTCACCATTTATCAGTTTCATTTCATTTTCCATGAAGACAATCTCGTTGTCTGGGCTTTTTTGATGAAGATTGGCCTTTTTCGATCATTTTTGGTCTGAAGATTCTAGGCGTTTTGGCCCGTCCGATTTTTTATTTATGCATTTCGCCAACAGTGGTGGTTGGGTATCAGTACCTCTTCCAGCTTTATTACTGCTGGTAATGGCGAAAGACCGATTTGCGTCTAACATCAAAATCAGCAAGGGCAGGCAAACTAAAACTGTTACCATCGACCAATCTACATGTTTATAATGATTTTGTACAGTTGTTTCTTCATTTTCAGTTTTTGGTTTTGATATTTTATGTAGGTATATCCTTCACAATATTTTGTAATATATGTTGGGTATGTGCTTCCTCGTTTTATGTTTTTATACATGTGTGTACTTTTTACGTATTTTTACTGGTGAGGGAAAGCATATGCCGAAATCGATTTAGAAGTAAAAATGTGATAATATCATTGTATAGAATGCCTGCAGTTATGTATGTAGCATTAAAAACTAAACAGGTTCATCACCCGTCAAGAGGAAATCTCACAATTTACCAGAATAGACATGATATTCTCATGGGGAATTCCAGGCTGAGTAAAATGTAACAGGGTTTTAAGATCGATTTTGGCTCAGGTTCTCGATTTAATGAAACAAAAGTACCAAACTAAATGTAAAACAAGAAAAAATAATATTGAAGTAATTTCATGCGCTACATTCTTCAGTTTTATAGCCATTTTTAAATGTTTGATTCGTTAATGAAAATTTCCGATAGTTAAAGTTAACAACAATTGTGCTTACAAACACAAACGGTAGATGGATCGAAAATGCACCAGACGTAGATTTAATAGTAATTACAGTGCTAAACTAACAATAACATGAAACTTTAACAACATGATTAAAGCACGAGCTGCAAAGGAGGTTCGTGTTGTTTTCAGAGGGGAAATTGAAAAAGTATATTTATCATGAAATGTGACCACATTTTGTTTTATTACCTTCGAACATCTTTTATTATTCCTTCTTCTCCAACCTCTTCACCCTTTGTCTATCCTTTTCTAGAAAAATCTACCTATGTTGTTTTACCCGCTGTGCGTGGATGTCCCTGCACGTCAAACGATTGTCGTCGTCGGGCCAAGATTAAGGTTAAATATCGGTGAAAGAAGTGAGTGGGGTAGAGAAAGAGGAACAGAGGATAAAAAGAACGAATTAAGAAGAGACTGGTGTTTTGCTCAAAGAGTAATAGAAAGTAAAGACAGAAAGAAAAGAGCAGAAAAGGAACGGGAAGAGTGAGGGAGGGGGAAGGGGGGGAGAGAAAGAGAGAGAGAACGAATGAACTGTGAAAGAGAAAAGAAAGGGACCGATTTATCGCACAAAGAAGAGCAGAGAGGAGAATAAAAAGAGATCAACAGATTAGACACATACCTAAATAAAAGAAAGAAAGAAAAAAGAGAGAAGACTGATGCCACGCAAATAGGAGAGGAGAGCGTGATAAAACGACTTGTTGTGAGACCGATATTCCGCACAGTTTGGAAAGATAGCTAAAGAGAAAAAAGAGATTACTGTAATTGTAATGGGATGTCGAATAGGAGGAAAAAGGTGAGGAGCAAGAAGAAAGAGGGAACTAATAGTGAGGGAACCGATATGTCGAAGAGAGGAAACAAAAAGAGGAGGAAAAACAAAGACAAAGCAGAAAGAAGAGCGATAGGACTAATTGTGAGGAAAGCGATAAAGGAAAGAAAGGGGAGAGAAAAAAGGAAAAGGAAAGGAAAAAACTGTGTTATATTGACATGTCGAAAAGAAGAAACAAGGAGAGGAGAAGAGAGAAAGATAAAGAGAAGTAATTGTAGGTGGATATGTCGAAGAGGAAAGATGAAGAGATGAAATGAAGAAAAAATGTATGAATGTATAAAAATGTAAGAAATGAATAAAATGTTACTAAATTCACATAATACAATAAAATATAGAAAAAAATCAATATCGTTAAATTTTAATCGACAGAATAAAATTAAAGAATTTTCGCAGGTGTGTCACATTGACAAATCCTTACCGGTGACAAATGTTGCCGATGCGACGCACAGCTCTTCAATAACAGTTAAAAATCATGCATGTAAAAGCTTCTTGCATGTAAAAATTAGGTATAGAAGTTGAGACGAAATTTTTAGAAATAAAAACCGGTAAAAAACTTGTGGAATCTGTGTAGCACGCACGTTTTCATGTCTGGCGGTACATTTTCCATTGTGCGTGGAGTATAAGAGCTCTAAGTTCGAAGCTCTAATTTTTTTTCCCGATGGTTCGCAACAGCAGAGGTCATATAAACCCTCAGGGTGCCGGTGTTTTTGAAAAAAAAAAAAAATTGTAAGTATGTCGGATTCGAATTCAGGGTCGCTGGATTCGAACCCGGGACCTTTACCTTACAGTGATGAGCACCGTGTCAAAGACAACCTTGCGGCCACCGACCCCCCCCCCGCTCTAATGTTTAGAAACGTCAAATCGGAAAATAATCACAAACTCAAAGGCGTATCAGTTATTATTTCGTTACGAATTAACAATGAAACTGGTATGAGGAAAAAGCCTTCCATGTCAAATTCTTTCCCCGCTTTGTTTTAACTTTTCAGCTAAATTAAATGGGAATAACGAATCAGTCTATTAAACAAATGGCTCTGGGGATAATGAAGAATTTTACCTATTGTCTATTTACACGATGAAACTAATGAAACAACGTGGGAGTTATGAAACGACAATGTATAACAAACTGTACATTTATTACAATTAAAGCTGCTTTGAATCAAAGTAAAAATTTTCTTGAGGACCGCGGGGTGATAAACCTGCAGTATTTTGGGCTAAGAATCCACTCTGTTTCGATCTGTCGGTCGCGTTTTGGCATTTCGCCATCTTCAGGGGTGGGTTTACGTCTACAATTTCGTAATATGATGGTTCACCCTCCTTATAACCCTGACCAATCTTGACATTTTTCTGGCTCGATATCTTTCAATACTTTGAAGAGCTTGAATTTTGAAGAACAATCAGACCTAGGGAATGACTTGAGGAGAAATTAAAATAATTAGATTAATAGAGAGAGTGTGAAAATGAGAAAGATAGAAAAAGCATGAGAGAGAGAGAGAAGTAGAGAGAATGAGATAGAAAGAGAGAGAGGGAGAGGGGGGAGCAATGTGGAATCTTAGATTGATCGGAAACGACCAAACTATTGGCGACCTGCATTGATTCGTTTGACTCTCGGAGATGAGATTATTTCTACGAATTAGCGATATATCATGGTCCGAGGGTAGTCAAAAAGTTTCTTTATAGATTAGGAGGTACGCATCCTTTTCAATCCTTTTATCCGAGGAACTAGAGCCACCCCGGTGTGAATGAGTTGTGTGTAATCGCATAACGGGCTCATCTATTCCCAACAACGTCTAACGGGCTGCCTTTGTCAGCAAGACCTTTCAATTTCCAAGGCGTTCTTCAAATATTTCTTAAGGATAATAAATCGTAATCGATGTATACGTCCTGTATAATTTCAACATTTTCTAAGAGACAAGATCCCTTCACACTTGTATATGTTTCAAAGTGGATTGGTGTTGGTTATTCTGCTATGAACGAAGCGCATCTGACATGCACTTTCTCATCTTCGTAGTCCAAATAGATCTTTAAAGTAATAAATTGTCACGTCTTTGGGTGGCTTTTGGAAAGAAGTGAATCTCAAGACTCTCAGTGCAATACTGGGTCTAGATGGCAGTACGAAGGACGTCATTAGAATAATAACAATAAACCAATTTGTAGAGACCGGGAAGGGTTGTTTTATGACTGTTCCTCATTGTTTCTACGAATGTGTGAGCCAAACAAAACCGTGTCGATGTTTTACCCGTGAAAAGGGTCTATTTGTCAATCAAATGCCGGCGCGATTTGCTCCACAATAACTGACACATTGACTGACTCACGAGGACAAAAGCCCCCCAAACATCCTTGGGAAGGATCATGATGACAAAACAAAAAGCACCGGTACGATTCATAAAAATTGAAACGATAAGCCTGTATACTGACGTGAAAAGATATTTGGATTGAAAAAAGATACATAATACCATCTTGAAAAAGGTTGTAATCACTATAAAATTATTAACCTTTCATAATAATTTTAAAAACTCAACAGTTGCTTAGTGATGAAAGACAATCAGAAAGAAACTCGCGGTTGTAAGGATTTTTTTCTCAACATTTTATAGGATATTCTAACCTTATTGCCCGTTAATCATTTACCACGATGGACCAGTTAACACTTAACATAAATACGTAAAAACATCACAGATTCAAATAAAATTACCTTGCCTTTTTTCATTTGACCTAAAATCATAGTAGCTGTTGTGGAAATGACGGGATATTCTCTATAAAGCTTTTTGATTGCTTCATCCTGTGTCTCACGTTTAGCTTCGGCATTACAAAAAAATACGATTAACGCCGGACTTATGATCTGGATCGATTAATTACTAAAAAAATTTAAAATGATTGATAATTAAGACTAAAAATAACATAATAGCTTTGAATCCTTGTTGCCTTGAATTTTGGGGAATATAGTACTATTCGTCAAGCTGTATGCCGATTGGCAAGGAAGGTTCCATAGAATAAGTATGAATAATAGAATGTGTGCATAAAACCCTTATCTAATTATAATAAATCATGACTTACCTAGATCTCCGTTCGAAATTGTTTTTGGCTGTACCGCTGCGTCAAGTTGAGTGTTCGTAGTGTTGTCTGTTTGTGCTGTTGACGGACCGTCTGCGAGGTTCTCGTTCCCTTCTGTAATATCATTTCAGTCCTTTACTCGAGTGAAAACTCCTTTGAGTTGGTATTAAACAAAACCTTAGCAAAAATTTTACGATACTTTTAAACACCCAAGGTAAGTCGTAAATGACATCTATATACGAACTGACGGTACAGAGACGTAGGACAATAACGTGGAAACCAGAAGGTACAGAAAGCTAACACATTTTTTTTTAAATCTCATTATTTTCTCTGGCAACTACATGAAATACAGAACCGGTAGTGGTTATTCTATTACAAAAACAACTATATCTGGTTTTAGTTTTTAACGTCTATTCTATACATATTCCCTTTTTTTTTCTAGGACTTTACTACCATCTTGAAAACACCAAAATATGAATTGCGACTAAGACTTGATGCTTTCAATCGTCTGAAAATACTATTTAATAAAAACTCGAACACATGCAACGTAATAAACAACAACCACTTCACATAAAAGAGCAACAAATAAAACGAAATTCACTAACATCCGCATGACTTTATCAAACTCCAATGGCCGAAATAGCTTGATATTTCATTATTCTAGATTTAGCAGAATGCCATGACTTTTTCTACTAGGACTTCGACCATTTTACTATACATACCGATTTATGAAGGTGTTTTATAAGTACATAAATAACCAGGAAATGTTATGCGGTGGAAAAAGTTTATTTGTTAAACTTTACAACATTATGTGAGAGTTATAAACCAAATCAGATACCAGCTCCTAGCACTATGAGCGATAAATAGTCACCCCAAAAAATAAAGTAATGAAAGTACCTATAGAAAAACAGCACATCTCAACCATTCAATTATAAACATTTTTTAGTTACACAAAATTTATATTAAAAAGTTGCAAACAGATTTTTAACAACTCGCTCTATAAAAATATACTATAAAAATAGTTTAACAATTATTTTGAGTCTGACGTTTTTCGCGACAAAACACACCCTTCACCGGAGTTCACAGATCCGACCGATGCCCGAGTTCGGGCACATTGAGCTAAGGCCCTTCCCGTTCCAAGGACTCGGTCAACTCGGAGAAGAAGTAGAACAAGAAGGCGAAAAACAGAAGTATCGACAAATTTCATATGAGCTGATAGTTCATCTCGTAGGCCAGATGGCGTCCGTATATGTCGACTGCGTTCATCGCGCTCCTTTTCCTTTCCACCTGGGATCTGTGCTGGTAGATGACGAATTTCTTCCAACTTTCTGACGTGAGGTTCCTCGAGGGGAAATACATGCGAGCGATGTGCTTCCAGATCACTTCCACGTTGTACAGGGAATAGTACAACTGTTTGCAGGAGGAGGCGAAGTAGAAGAAAGAAACGGGCGTCAGGTATTGGGATATGGAAATGAGGATTTCGATGGGAAGGGAAAGGATGTGGTCTGGGTTGGGTGTCTCGGTCGGAAAGGCACTTTTGACGGTGCACAACGCGTTTTTGAAGAGGAAAGCCAGCTCCTTTCCGTTTTTGATCGAAGCCTTCTCGTTCTTCAAATTGACGTATTTGGCCAAGTCGAAGGAAAGTGAGAGCGTTATCAAGTCCGGCGCGAACAAATTGACTATGACTGCATCGTGTACGGGTACGGCGATCAATATACACTTGTTATCCATATTGCTGTAGTGATATGTCAGCTGATAGTTAGCGTTCTCGACGTCGAATCGGATCTTCCTTTCGGTCAAAGATCGCATAGTTCTAATATCAAATGAGGGCGAATTTGCGGATGGTTCATTGGAGAAGAATCCTGATTCGTGCATTAAAACGTCGAGTGCGCAGACGAAAGCGTCACTGCGATACCTCGACGGTTCGTCTAGGGTCGAGAGGAGTGCAGACAGCCAGCGAGGGGTACCATCACCAATAACCAGCGCCTCCGACTCCCCTGGAAGAGACCAACGTCTTACAAAAATAACCCACACTTTAGAAAATATTCAAGAGGGAAGAAACAAAGGAGAAAATGCATCAGGATAAAGCTGGGCTATTGCTACAGAGGGAAACATGCTCATGCACTCCCTCGTAATCGAACAAGCGAACAAAATAACGTTTATGGATTTTTAGGGAAATCACGCAACCGTTCTATCTTGTTAACTGTGTTATTATTCTATTTAGGTTAATACGAATATAATTATGTGAACAATCACCTTTTTAAAATTTAAACCTGCTAAATGTGCCAAGCTATTAAGGTCGGCTATTCAAACTTCTCAAATAAGTTCAGCGAATTATTTTTCGTGAATAATATCAATTAAGTGATATTTTCGTCATAGATACGGAAAAAGAATTAGAAGGATTATGCCATGAAATTTTATCCATTTGAACAACTTTTTGATCATTCCTTTTTTAATTTAATTTGTTTTATTCCTTTCTGATTATTTTGCACATGAGCTATAAATTAATTCCAAAATAACACATGTGCTCAAAAGTTATCATCAGTTCGTGCCGCCAAGTTTGCTATTAATTCCAAAATAGCACGCATTACAGACGTTAGCCTCCTGGGCGTGCTATTGTCGAGTGAGCTATTAATTAAAAAACATGCACAACATTTAGAGGACTCCAGACCGTGATAGTGTCGAGTAATGAATTCATTCACAAATAATACACTTACATAATAAAACTTCTCTCCCTAAACATACTTAGCACGTAGCACAGTTTACCTAACCGCTATTACACTAAAACCCCTACTAACAATTATTTATTTGATCCAATTTACACCCAATACTAAAAATAATTTGTAATGAAGAAAAATGTACGCGGCATCATATGCTCAACGACAAAGATCAGACACTTGTATTTATATGTTCATTTTTCATCATAACCTTTCCAGAGCCAACTTGTCTACTGAGTTCATTGGTTTCTAAAATTGTTTAAGATTGTTTGAATGTAAGGAATTGTTTTCTTGGGTGAAACAATAAATTTAAGAAAAAAATTGTTTTTCTTAAAAGCATGGTATTACGTCTGAAGATCTCATTCGGGCACATGCGTACGGACGTAGCATACAAAACCCAAGTTCTGGGTGTACCGCGCTCTACATCACAATGGTCTGCAGTAGTTTAGGGCTACCGGAAGTCTCGACTGAAGAGAAGCAGTGGTCGACAGCGATGTACTACGGCTAGAGACGATCGTTTTATTGTTTTTTCCGCACTACGGAACCGTCATTTAACAGCGTTTGTGATAGGTGGTCAACTCCAAACGGAACAAATGTAAGGGTGAGCTCTAGAACAGTCATCAGAAGGCTTTGCGAGAACAGCGTAGTTTTTAGACGTTCCGCATCAGGTTCTTTAATACTGGAGAGGCATCGAGCAGAAAGGCGACTATTCGCAAATCAGCAACAAACAATGGGGAGTATTCTCGTCTCAGATGTTACCGGTTAGGTTTGTGGAGAAGGGTCGAATCAACGTCCATGCCCGTGCCGAACTGTTTATTATATGGATCTTGGACTACACTAAGGTACATTGAGGAAGTTCAAGTGGTCCCATTCGCTCCACTTATTGGGGACAACTTCGTGTTAATGGATGATGCTTGACCGCACCCATTACTTGGAGGATGTAGGGATTACCACAATTAATTGACCAGCACGTTCTCTTGATATTAATCCTTTACAAGACTTACGTGGTAGGATTAACAGACGGGTTAGACATCGTTTGCCGTCTCAAACAAGCACAGCTCCTGATGAAGAATGGGATTGTGTCTCACAAGGCGAAATCCGATCGCTTATTACTCGACACCTAGGAGACTAAGGCGAGGGCAGTGTAGGTAACACGCATTATTAAGAGAAAACCCAGGTAATAAATTGTTAGTTAAATTTTAATCTATCGCTAAATGATTTTCGATGTTTTGGTCTTTCTTTCAAACTATCATAATTAAATAATTTTTATTAAAACATGAATTTCTGATTTCGTTTTATTTGGTTTACGTTAAAATTAGTATAGTAATTACGATAAAAATACACATGGTTTGAAATAAACGACTAAATACAAGTGTCCATTTTTTCTTTTTAAGTGTATTTATGGGAAAAGCAGCATTATTTTTATGTTGTTCTATTTGGGCAGTTTTATTGAACAATACAATTCTGAGAAATAGTTTAGCCGGTAGCAACTCATCACTGTAAGGGTTGGTAGTGTTGAGGAGCTACGAAGCTTAATTCTTAAGAACAAAATGGATTATTCATTAGACTTTAAAAATTCGATGATATTTCAGTAGCCTAAAGGGATTAAAATGCACTTTTTTTATGATTGGCTGTTACGAATTAACGAGATGATAATTATCGGGATTGTACTGCAATAATAGTTTATTGTTGCTTAGAAAGGCGTTATCAACATTCTCACTAGTAATGATGGCTAGGTTTCGTCATTTGCGCCATAATAATTGTAGTTTCTTCTTTATTACACCTTAATTAAACCATTTTTGGTATTTTTTTATTAAAAAGAGCCTTACATAATAGCCAAAACACTCACGTGGACGGCACAACGAAGCGACATCGTTCATCACTACTAATGTTCATCACAGAATTAATTAGTGACCCAGATTTGGCAAATTGTGTGGGTATGTCGATCAGAGACCAAACAGCACGGAGTATTCAACGAAAAATCATTTGATTTATTGTTCTAATCTAATTAAAAAAGACGCTTCATGTTTGTCAAACATTAACAGACAACACAAACATCAGTCAGAAGGTTTTGAGAACAGCAATTTTGTCTATGTCGTTACCTTCGGAGAAATAATATTACAGAATTGAAAAGAAAGGATTTCATGCCAACAGTAATACGAGTGAGTTGGTCATATTGAGCTAACTGCCATGAAGAAGATATCTAATAACATATTGGTCTTGCAGTTTGGTCTGCCTTAACTCATCACACATTGTACACCACTACACCAATGCTGCGGCGGTAACACTTTTCCGTCGTATGCAGAAGTGCATCAGCTCTCATATTGAGAATCAAAACGTCCGATAAGGCCGAATAGGCTAGGTGCGGACGTTAAAGATCCTCTTGTCTTGTTGACGATGAGTAATAACTGCCTTTACTCGTCGTTTTGGTCTGACAACGGTTCATCACACAGCAGATCGCAAGATGATATCTCACCATATGTTGATCATTTTCGATTATTTGGGTCTAACTATATCCTCGTCGTTTTGGTAAACAAAACATTGTAGATTCATAATAATAAAAATAATATTGTTACTTCCAAAAACTTAAAAATAATAGTAGAGGATTCCAAACAAAGAAATTCAGGGCATCCGTAAGTCCAGTGGTTTAGTAGATATCGATTGATTTTGTGTCTATCCTAGCTGTTATTATCTGCCACATGATCATCACCAACCTCAAGAAGATATCTCACAACATATTGATCTTGTAGTCCAGTGGACTCCAATAATTTTGATCTGCCAAACACCTCTGTTTTGGTCTGATACAGGTTCATCATCCTACAGAACTCAAGAAGATAAGTCACAATATATTGAATTTGTAGTTTAGTCGTTTCCGACGCTTTGGCCTACAAATTCTAGTGGTTTTGGTCTGTTCATCTCCCAGCAGACCTCAAGAGCATATCTCACAATATATTGATCTAGTAGTATTATTTTGGTCTGCCAATCCTTCTTGTTTTGGTGTGCTATAAGTTATCACCGGACAGACATTAAGAAGATATAACACCTCTCTAAAATCAACGTCTTTCTATCTCTCATAACTACTCTAATCATGTTGGTGAACCTATAGTCGCCGTTTTGCTATTACAAAGATTCATCAGCCAGTTGACCCCAAGAAGGTTTGTACAAATTGATCAGGTAGTTTGGTGATTCCCTTACATTTTGTCTGCCTAACCTCATTGTTTTGATCTGCTACATGTTCGTCACATAGCAAACCTCGAGAAGTTATCCAGCAACATACTAATCACGTACTATGTAAGATTTCAGGGTGATTTGATCTTGGAGTTTGGAGGATCCCTAACTTTTAGTCTGCCTAACTTCCTCGTTTTATTCTTTTACAGGTTCATCACCCAGTAGACGTCAGGATGTCCCACAATACATTGAACTTGTAGTTTGTAGATTTCGCCCAGCAGACTTCAAGAGCAAATCCTACAATATATTGATCTACAGTTTGTAAGATTTCGGGGGGATTTGATCATGTAGTTTGGAAATTCCGTAACATTTAACATTTGTAGTTTATCTTCCAGCTACTTCAATGCTCTCAGTTATTACCACAAACCTGATAACTAAGAGCAGTAAAAGTTCATCACCGTACAAACCTCCATGCAATATCTCATAACATATTGGTCTTGTGGTTTAGTTGTCTCTAATTATGTTGGTGAACCTATACTCGCCGTTTTGCTCTGACAAAGATTCATCAGACCGTAGTCCTCAAGCATTATAGTTTATACGAATATATTTATCAGGCAGTTTGGTGGTACCCAGACATTTTGTCCTGCCTATCCTTCTTGTTTTGATCTACTACAAGTTCATCATCCAGCAGACCTCGAGAAGATATCCCTCAGTACATTGATCTTATAGTTTGATCCATGTTCATAAGTTCACAAACTTCAACCAGATATCTCACTTAATAGCTTGGCCATCAATGATCAATTTGGTCCGTGATCAAAACTACTTTCTAGCAATTACATTTTAACACGACAGAGAACCTTTAGAGTCAGCTGGGATCAAGAATACATAAAAGATACGAAATCTTCAAAACATAAGTAAAAAATACTGCTAGAGCGACAAAAGAAATCGGCCATCACTAGTAAAAATGTAGTCTCTTTATTGCCTCAATGCTTTAACTGGAAGCAAAGGAATGCATGAAAAAACACTAATTTCCCTTGTAACTAGCATAAAAGTTCAAATTAAATTACTTAGTTAATTGATTTTTTATACATATTTGTTTAAATGGTGTTTTTCATGTATTAATTTTTGCACGTTTTCTCATAAGAGTTTATTTTAAGAAAGTTTAGAAAAACACAAAATTTGTCCATACTTTATTGTACTTAGGTCGAGGTGCTTGAGTCGCTGTATTTTGTAAACAAAGGCCATAAAAAAACATAATGATATAATATAAACTGCCCAAATATATAAACTAAGAAGGAAAAAGGAAAATCTTTAATGATTAATTGAATTTTGTTACAAAATACATAGAAGTTACGAAAGGCGAGGATTTTTTTTGAAAAACCGCGGCAACGCCAGCACAAACAAGGAAAAGGAAGAGAAGTTCACCTTTCACTTTAAAGGTCTGTTATGATTCATCCCCGACCCAACGAACTGATCCTGTTCACAGATTGTATTTATTACGTTTACTTTTTTAAAGAACGTTCGGTTGTGAAAAAAAAAACTCGTTCTTTAAAAATATAGGAATTGTAAAATAGGAATAAAAGGATTAAAATTGTGAAGTTGAGCAAGATGTGGTAGAGGTGAGAAGCATGCGTTGAACTTAGCCAGTCCATGCATAGTCGAAAAAGAAGTAAAAAGCGTAATAAACCTAAAACGCACAATTTCACAAAGCCAAAATCTGTTTGCAATCTTTTAAAATAAAAACGGACACACAATTGTTTAAAAAAAATTAAGGAAAAAACGCTACAAAATGACATGATCGGAATAAAATGGATAAAAGGTGTGGAAAAACAAACAATATCGACTTATGAACTTTTGACTATACCTTTTTGTTCGCCGACGATTCGAGGAGATTCGTCTGACTTAGCCTCATCCTCCTCTTGAGCCTGGGCACCGTTGACGACTTTAGTATTCTGGGACATGACACATTATTGGAGAACACTCGCGAAACGGCACAATTCACAGCACTGACGGACAACTTTTATCGAAGAGAGTCCGCAGACAGAGATACATGAAAAATACCAAAGCAGAAAAAAAAGCTACTACGAGATTGTCAAGGGTAAACCTTAAAAGCGCCGAAACCCTCCATTCGACCTCAAAGTGCGAAATTTCCTCAACCCAGCGGTTTGACTTTCAACATGTTTTCCTTCGATGTCTAAATAAATAGAAATATAATAAAATCACTACATAAAACGGCGAAAAATGAATTTCTTTGTTAAAATTCAACGCTTTGAAGACAACGGACGTGTCCGAGTTTCAATACAAATGGCCTCGGGTCTGTGAAACCTCACTTCTCAATACTTGCCTCGTTGCCTTCGTTCGGACGATGGTGTCGTATTGCGCTGTACGCTATTTGAGACATTGGTGCAGAAACGAATTGTTGCACGCTGCTAAAATAACCGCATTCCCTGCGAGATGGCTTAACGAAGAACACGCGAGGCCGATCCCGGTCCCGGAAAAGAAGCTGATCAAAGTGGCCATCATTGGTGCGCCCAATTCAGGCAAAAGCACACTCATCAATCAACTTGTCAAAAGAAAGGTGAAACGCACTTTTCGTATTTTTTTTTTCTTTTAAGGCATTCAAATCTGATGAATTTAGCACGTTTTGAGGTGGCCAATAAAGCGAATTGTACAACTATAAAGCGTATATCTTCAGTACATTGCATTCTAACTATATCAATAATCCATTATGTTAAGCTGTCATAATTGACCATATTAATTATTTCATTTAATTATTCTTTTTTTTCCTTAGGTCATAGTTTCGATATAAAAGTGTCACGAGCAGGATTAAAACCCACAACCTTCGGCTCAATATGTCGCTGCTCTAACCACTTGAGCTATCGTTACTTCGATCCACTCGGACACCAACTCATCTCAACCTAAAACCGTTTTTAGTTTTCCCTCTTTTTGCCATTTTTCTAATTTTGATTAATCAGGATATTCTCTGTGACTTATGCCACAGGGAGGTGATCAGTATGAGAGACATGTATGCGATACTGATATGAGGTACAGAAAGTATTCTTGTGATAGGTCTTCCATTTCTTCTCAACATCTCCCACTCTTTTTAAAGACCTAGATGTTTGATTCTGTCATGTTTTTATAATGGACGAGTCAGAAGCTGTAGCTCTTTGGCATTTAATTAGATGAAAGCAAGTAAAAGTAGAGTAATGTAGGGTTTTCCACATTTTGCCATGCATTTTCTTTTTTAACTTTATCCACATAATCATGATCACTGTTACAAAGCGTGGGATATGTTTGTACTAATGAAATTCGTTTATCGTTATCAAAAATGTCACTTCTATCCATATCTTTTTCAAAGTTTCCAAGAAGGGGTATGAAAACAAGAGTCAGAAGGGTTTTCAGACAGAAAAAATATCTAGCGGCTAAAAATCAGTATCTTATACTGGTCGCCTGCCAGTCTCCCCATCTGAATAATTGTATCTGTCCATATGTTACATTGGTCACATAGATACCAAACTGTCATATCGATGGCCTCTGTGTGTACCGGGCCTTAGCGAGAGATTTGGAGTTGGTGTCCGAGTGGATTGAAGTCACGATAGAACAGCAGCGTATTAAGCCAAAGGTTGTGAGTTCGAAGCCTGCTCATGACACTACCTTTTTCATCTCAACCAAGACCTTAGATTAAAAAAAATTAATTAAGAAATTTATTGAAATATATCAATAATATTAAATCTATTAGAAATACATGTAGCATAAATAAATTTTATCACTATTTCAACATCTTAAAAAAGTCCAGTTGTCCTGTTAAAATGTTTTTAAATAATTTAGAAACCTTTGATATGCTTTCAATTTCCTTTCTGTTTGCCAATCATTTTTCTAGCGTTTGTTCTTTAAAGCAGGGCTTCCCAACCTTTTTGTCATCAGACCCCTTTCACAGAACAAAAATCCATATCTGCCAATGCTTATCCATTGCATTCAAGTATTTAAAATTAGATACTTACATCTATAGTGAATTTAAGTTTTATAAATTACCATTAGCCAGTCCGTAGGTGATGGAGAGGGATATCATTATGAAATCAAACATTAGATTTATATACTTCTTTATTTACCAAATCCTGAATACTAAAATCAAATTGGACAGAACGGAATCAATTCAAAAGTAATTTGTACACTAATGAATTAATAGGAAGAATGAGTTGTTTTAGCCTGCACAATTTGGATATAGTGGGTTTAATTTTTGATAGCTGGAGACGGATGTCCAGTTCACCATCTAGACAGCTTTGGAATTTAGTTAGAATGGCTATAGATAGAAAAATTTGAATTCGCTAGGTAAATTTTGGCAAATGAAAGAACACATTTTGCTTTTTCAACAGTTGAATTTTTTGTTATCCAGACGAAGCTAAAACAAGGGGGTAAGTGTCAGAATTGAAAGTAGATTTCAAGGTGGAGTCTTAAGTAATGTCTATCAAACATTCACATTCACTTGAAAATAGACTGGTTGGCTTTGTCCAAATTGAAAAAGGTTTGACCGTCCATTCATGGTTAGAAGCATCATATCTCAAGCTGTTGGGAAGTAGTGCTCAAAGGATATCTCCATACTTCTAATATGTTCACATATTTCGTCAGTCAATGTGACGTTCGCAAGCTCCAGTTTGTTTTCTTGTAAAAATAATTTAACACAGCAAAACACCACCCCTTCCTCCTCAACAGATTCAACCCAAAACTGGAATTTTCTTTTGAAGGTGTGAACTTGTCATTACCATCGAAAGTTATGATATTCTTCCCGTGCAAAGAAAGACTCATCTCATTCATTTTCATGAAAATATCTAATGAATACAACAGAATACATTGCTATTTCTCATCATTGAATACTTGGCCAATTTGACATTATGGCCCATCAACAGAAATAAGACTTCAGAACGTAATTCCCATAATCGTGAAATTGCCCAAGAGACAGCCATCTCACTTCTGCGTGGTGAATCAGAGAATGTTGAACACTTCCCTTATCATAATCATCATAGTATTCTGAAAAGTCTTGACTCCAATGGTAACAATTTGATATTAATAATTAAAACAGACTCATCCAAAACATTCTTAAAAGAGTCTGGCATTTATATTCTAGCTAAAGCATGTTTGTGGAGAACACAATGACTGCTGCTGCAAAATAAAAAACTATTCATTCATCGTGCGTTTATTTTTGTAATTATTAATTTTCCTCAACGTTCGCTACAGACCCCCTAGTCAGGGTCGGCAGACTACAGTTTGGAAAGCCCCTCTTTAAAGTCATCAACACCTTACAATAATAGTAATAAAAGTAATATTTGTAAATATACCAATTTGTGTACAACCTGCAGTAGGCAAAATTTTTGAAAGTATCATTAAATTCCTTAAACCCAATATTTAAAACATTATTGTTCCAAATCATGGTTTTCAATCGCATTAACAACATTAACCAACTTACTTATATTTCAAGATTATATATTGCAATCTTTTTGTAAAGGACTTCAGGTTGATTGTATGTTAAACTGCGTACTTTTCAAAAGCTTTTGATAGTAACTTTTATTATTTTTATCATGTTATTCTTATTATACAAATACTCAAATAATTGTACACAACACTTTTTTTTAATGAAAAATTTGTGTCACAGGCATGATTTAATTAACTGACATAATTTTTTCAGTTAACTGAACTAAGTTAGCCCATAGCTCAGTTTTTGCCCGGTTTTCCATTTTTTCCTTCAGTTGTGTCAAGTTCTAGCTATTTGTAGTGCGAACATGGAATTGGTCACAGAAGAATAATTACAATTCGAATTTTGGCAGCTGCTTCAACCTGAGGAAAAAATGGAATATCCCTTCTAATGCTTTTTTTTTATTTGTGTTCTTTCTTCATTCAGCTCTGATGAAGTTAGCGTGTTTTGATGTGGTTAATATAATAAAATAGATGATATATTATAAAGCATATTGAAAGCATAGGAAGGCTATGTTTGGGTGCTTCAATAAAACAAACCTCATTTTTATTATCGCACATGCTTCTTATTAAATTAATTGACATATTTCCAATTAACTTAGCTAAATGTATCCACAGATCCATTTTCCATTTCTACCTTCAGCCGTCCAGTTCACATTCATCCATTCACAGAAGAAGAATTTTGCCTTTTATCAGCTGCTTCAACCTGGGGAGGGAAAAACTAGAAAATCCCTTTTCATGTCTTTTTTAAATCGCATTCAGCTCTGATTTTTGAAGTTTTGAAGTGGTCAATAAAGCTGATTATATACTACAAAACAGTTTCTAATCCTTCCTTGCTTTAACTGTTGTATTTTTGTTCAATTGTATCTACAGTCGTGCAAGTTCTAGTTAATGTCATGAACATGGCAGTTGCTTCAACCTGAAGGAGGAGAAAAATGAATACTCCCTTTTTTTTTCTTTTATCACATCCAGCTGTGATTAAATTAGGCCGTTTCCAGGCTCTGAATAAAGCTAAATGCAAAATAGTTGAAGTGCCGAGTGGTTAGGACATCCAGCATTTCAATCCCAGCATAACCCTTGGAATTTTATGTCAGATTCATTTGGAAAAAGTATTATAAAGGTTCTGCCCCATGTTTGCAGCACCCAATCCCAATTGGATTAAGCCCTCCAGTATTACAGAAATTACTTTTGACAACTGTGAAGTTTATATCTTTGGTCTACATACAATGGAGGCTACTTCTGGGAAAGATACTATCTTTATATATATTGAACTATACCCTCGGAAAGATCACAATTAAATCAATTTCAATAAATATAAGTAGGATCTTCATGGAGGAAAACTGGAATATAAAACTGATATAATAAAAGATTCCCTTTAAAGAGAAAAGAAGTAGAGCTGATGCTGATTACTCCTCATTTGTACTGTAAAGTTTATGTTTCATGCCTGTCATGTACAATTTCTTACTGTACAGTCAAAAACAAAAGGTTGAAATTTCTGCAGTAGGCCTTAATGGACCTTATTGTCAACGTGTGTAGTGTTTAGTGACCGTTAGCCAATGATTATTCGGAGATCGTGATATGCGGTCTGGTGTGACGTAGGTTTTAGAAAAACATTTTCTTTATTGTGCCAACGTTTCGATCTTTATTGAAATCACCTTCATGGCCTGGGAACAAACATTGTCAACAATCCAACAATAATCGCATAAAAATAATTGTTGTTCTGTTTTTTCTAGGTCTTTCCTGTTTCCAAAAAGGTTCATACGACACGATGGAGGGCGAAGGCTTTGTTGATCGAAAAAGACACACAGTTAATTTTTGTCGATACCCCAGGTCTTGTGACACATTCAGAGACACAGAAGTAATATTTTTAATCGGAATAAATCGTTTTGGTGAATTATTATAGAATTTTTGTATAGATACAAACTACAGCCTCATTTTATGACGGACGGTGAAAGAGCTATTGGAGAGGCTGATGTCATCGGCGTCGTACACGATATGTCAAACAGTTACACTAATACCAAATTGGATTCGAAAGTCATGAAACTACTGAATGCTTTCCAGTCCAAAGAGTCATTTCTTGTCCTCAACAAGGTTTCAATTATTTGTTAAGAGTTCTATGTTGTATATTTTAATTATTCAGTTTTCTGTTTGACAGATAGACACACTTAAGTCAAAGAGACAGCTTTTAGATATATCTGATAAACTGACAAAGGGACAGTTAAAACAACATAATCATGAAATTAACCAGAGATTGTCTGATAGAGATAGCGACAAATCTGTCAAAACTTACTGGACAAATTTCAGTGAAATTTTTATGATTTCTGCTCTTCTCAATGAAGGGGTTGACGACATAAAGGTAAACTAATTGTACTATAAAATTAATTTATTATTCGAGTTTTTAGAGCTGAACTCAGTTAATAAATAAAAATAATTTTTAAATTATATTTACCCATATTTCTAGCAATATCTTTTAAACGCAGCTTGTCCCGGGGAATGGCCTTTTCCCGAAAATGTTTTTACAGACCAAAAACAGGTGCAAATAATTGAAGAAACCGTTCGGGCCAAACTCCTTGATGCCTTGCCCCAGGAAATACCGTATAACTTGATCGTTGAATTGGAATTTCTGGACGTTGACAAATGTGGTGAGTTCCAGTAAACAGTCAACAATTTTGAAAGTTAGGTTTATATTTATTTTCCTTTAAGGTAAAATGACTGCAGTAGTCCTCGTGAGATGTAAAGCTTCAAGGTTAATCAGATTGATCAAAGGGATCAAAGGAAAGAGGATTCAAGAAATATCCGCAGAAGCTGAACAATCGTTGGCCGATGCTTTTCTCACTGAGTTTTCACTTAGACTTGTTTTAGAAAAAAATGCAAGTTTCCTCGAAGTGAGTTATGAGATAGCTTATGTTTAATTATTTATTATTTTTATAAATAGACGAACATTTTTTTAAAATAGTTTTTAATGTTTAAGATAACCTACATTATAATCTTCTAGTGATATTTTCTTTTATAAACAGAGATATTTTTGGTATATTTTATACTTAGTGTAATTGATTTGTCAATGCTTTGAAGGAAATCTCAGATCTGTGTTTTCATAGTTTTCATTTATCCACTGTCTAAAGGACTCCTTCATTTCTTCTGTAAACTCATTTTTATTTCCTCTCTCGTTGCCTTAAAAAAAAAAATAATAATAATAATCTATAACGAATAATTTTCAAATTTCAGAATACCTTGTCGGATAAATGATTGCTCGTCTTTGCTGAATATACCGACATTCCTTAGTGACTCAAAGTTAACCGATGGATTCATTTTGAAATTATTGATATTGAGATGGTCAGCAAGCTTAGCAATCGTTTCTTCATCGTACTCAACTTCAAGGAACTCCATCAACTTTCTTATGGTCGCTGTCATGTCCTACGATGAAAAATTATATACAAATTTCTCTTGCAAAATATTCTGATATTTTATACCTTGACCATATCTTCATAGAAAATAAATATGTAGTTCCTATTGTTCCTCCTTTCCCATCCTTCCTGGACATGTTCCCAGAATGGTGCCCAAGGTACTGTTAAAAATTAATTTTTGATTATGGTTCACTTTGGATCTACAGACACATTTTGAAATAATTGAAGAAGCATTCACCTAATCCTTCTTTAAACTGTCGGCAGAACTGTTGAAACGTATTTACGTAATCTGAAGTTCGCCAGAGTCTTGTCAAATGGTAGAATGACAGTACGACATCCATGGGATTCCTTGCAAGATATATGACCTGGAAACAAAACGTATGTATGTGTATAAATTATCTATAGATATTGTATTTTGCATTTACTCCAATGAACGTTGTTTAAATAAACTTTCCCTTTCTGGTAGTTATATTCCTTGTCATCTTACATCCTAGATTGTACTTCAGTACTGAAATACATTAAAAACTGGTGTGTAAACTATTACTTGTTAAGCAAAATATTTAATACAATAATTCCTGCCATTCAAGAGGGCTAAATATCCTAAAATGGCTAAACAGTTGCCATCGGCTAAACCTGTTGTGTTTCATGGACAAGAGGTCAGACCAATTTACAATATCTACTATTACAATAATAATTACATACACATTTCAAGGGCAATGCTGAACTTAAAACTGAAGATCATTAGCATGGCGAATAGAAGAATCACCTAATGACAGCCTCTACATGCCACAGTTTGCAAAGTATTTTACTTTTTTTACATCTGGTTTATACAATAAACTATATTGTAGGTGAAGAATTGAGACTTGTAAATTTGTCACAAAACAGTTTTCAGCCTAAAAGTAGATTCTCAACCCAAAAAGGTTCTAACCAGGTAACTTAAAACTTAAGTAAAATATTTGGTGTGATGGGAAAATATTTTCATTCATAGTTTGGTCGTTTCCGATTGTTTTTTGTATGTTGTAACCACCCTGTTTTGGTTCGTTTTTGAACTTAGAGCTTCGGTCATCCGCCATCTTTAGTGGTTAGGGTTTTAAGGAGGGGAAGGCGGCGGAACGCGTATAACACATCAAAAATGATCGAAAACGTCCAAACTGCAGGTTCATCACCCAGCGTAACTCAAGAAAATATAGAACAAATTAAAAATATATTTACTTTGGCTCCAGTTTCCTCTAAATCGAGTGGAAGGAGGCTTGGAGGGAAGTGTGTTTTGATGACGCGAGGTGAATCCATATCGTCGATAGTTTCAAACACCGGTTTCGACATGTTCTCGATGATGATCCTGTTTTCCTCGTTATCGGCGTTCTCTTCCAAAAGTTTATTTTTTGTCTCTTCATGGAAAAACAAGTCTAATCTGAAAAATGCAAAAATTAATAATCCGAAAATCAGCCTCAACGAACGTTGGACTCACTCCAAAAATGGTGATCTCACGAATAAATTGAGCCCTTTCGCCTTTTCGAAGTCACAATTGTTCATCAATAGCCACACCATTTCTTGAGTTACGGTCGTCCCTGTCGAAGAATTTCTGCCTTTAAATTACAAGACTTAAAAAACAAAAATAAAAGAAAGAGAAGATTCACCTGTTCTAGGAAAGGTGGATATCCATACGTCGTCGGGTCTGGTCTTTATGTCCAGGAAAATCTTCATCTCCGTTTTGCATTTACTTGGCAGCAAGTATTTCTTCGGGCCGACCTGAACCCAGTCGGTCTTCTCGCCCTGGTGATCCGCCAGCAGCTCCTCCCTCACGGAGTTTTCCACGCTGATCACCTCAGGGTACGCCATCCTAAAAACGAGGACAGAAATAATGTTTAGTAACTGGACAACAGTCGAAGTAGAACGAATGTTACTAGATCGTTCATACTTTCGAAGGTCGCTTTCTCTTTTTCACCGAGGACGAGTCTCGTCCTTCGGAATGGGACAAAATCCGTTTCCGATTTGCCGAGTTCAGAAGCTTCATTGTAAGATGAAACGGTATCAAACGAAACGTTCATTTTCGTCACCCTGCTTGGGTTTCGTCCTAGCCGGTCTTTATCGAAACGTTTTTCTGTCTGATAAACAAATAGGTCAACTGTTGGGTCAGTGAATAATCAAGTTAACAAATTTTATAAATTAAACTGTACAACCAAGTGTGTGGTGTTTAGTGGCCGTCCAAATAATCATGTACGACCAGGTTTTAATATAATGAAAATAGTTAAGCGTTTGAGCGACTTCGATGCCGCTAAGGTATGCATTCCACAGACTTTTTTTTAAATTGACATTCCTTTATAGCAGGACGGTCAGAAATTTAACTAGACTGTCGTAAAATAAATCTACACATCATCATGTAAAGATATAAGAGAATATAGACAGTTTTGTATTGGCTCAGTATATCAGTTGCACATGGCGCATGCAAGATTAGTTGCATAGTCTCAGAAAAGATCAGTTGCACATAGCCTCAGAAAAGCTCTGTTTCACATGGGTACTGGAAAGATCAGTTAGACATTGGCGTATGCAAAATCAGTTATAAGCTCAGAAAGGTCGGTTTCGCATTGGCTCAGGAAATCAATTGCACATGGGCTCCCGAAAGATCTATTTAACGTGGGCTAAGAAAAGATCTATTGCACATAGGCACATGCAAGATCAGTTGCACATAACCTCAGGAAAGGTCAGTTGGGCATAGGAGCATGCAAGATCAGTTGTACAATGGCTCGTGCAAATCAGGTTCAGTAAGATCTCTGTTTCACGTCGGATTAGGAAAAATTAGTTTATGTAGGCACATGAAAGAACAGTTTCGCATTGGCTCAGGATATTAGTTACACATGAGAACTGGAAAGATGTTTCACGTGGGCTCAAAATAGATCAGTTGCACATAAAGGCATATAAGATCAATTGCATATAGCCTCAGAAAAGATCAGTTGGACATTAGCGCATGCAAGAATAGTTTCATATAAGCTAAGCAAGGTTTCGTATAGACTCACGTAAGTTCAAGTGCACATAGGCTCATGGTTCAATTTGCGATTTTCCGGCAGCCAGACGTAAAGTTTTAATTTGTCATTGAATGAATCATGAAGGTCAGTTATGTAATAATTTCTGGTTTGTACGTTTCATTATTCTCAACAAAACCAAAGATATTTTAATAAAATAGATCTTTTTGAAGGTGTAATCAAGGCCGACTTAGCCGATCCGTGACGGACAATTAAACCTAGAACTCGAACTGAACGGTCTATTATTGTCTGTTAGTCTATTTACTAATATCGGAAAAAAGGATCGTCGGTATATTTCCACTGGATAACGTTTTTTGGATGCGCTTTTCTCGGGCGCTAGCTCACCGTCCTTACAGACTGAATATTGCACATCCGTGACCCAGAACGTACAAGATGAACGGTCAGAAATTCATTATCTACGGTGTACAAGATTAGGCGATTTTCATGGGAACGCTAAAGTATAATACTTCGAAAATATCCAATAATTTTCTGGCCAATAAGGTCATTAAAAGATAATCGACGTGAAAGGCACATTCTTGTTGAATATTCAAAAGTATAATTTCATGTATGCCAAGGTCAAGCTTATAACAATATCATTGTTTATTTTTAGTGTTTAGGAATGTAATCTTTAAAAAAAGTCTCACAGTTTAAATTACTTGTTAGATTGCTAATCATTGCATTGAGATTTCGGGTGATCGAATCGCTAAATCAGCTTAAAACTGTGGCTTGAATCACGATCACAGAAAAAATCAACTAACAAAGTGAGAATAATAAAAGGAATTTTTATCCATTTATTAAAACCAAACGGATAATTAATATTATCAATTAACTCAAAACACAATGGGCGGAATTGATTTTATTAAGCTTTTTCTTTAGGTAAAGTATTTTAAGATAATCCTGAAGATTGCTTCGGCTAAGCAGCAAATCTTTTGATCATTGCGTATTCGAAGGGTGCAAATAATTGAGATCAATTATAAATAAAATGAACAAAAGCGAGACAATTGATTCTACTGATGTGACGTTTCTTTTGTACTCTGCGTTCTGCGAGATGAACTTGTAGCTTGATCGTTTTCGGTCATCATGGTCCGCCTAGTCTCGCGGTATGAATAATCAACCTCCTAACACGATGAACTGACCAAATCAGCGAAGAAAGACAGACGAAAATGATACGACCAAGCCACAATTTCTTCAACAGTCAGGTTTTCGTTCGTGTTTAAAGCACCTGGAATAATCAATTGACGGTTTTGTTTCAATTTCGTCACTTACGTTAATCAATATTGCCCCAACGCCTCCGAGTCCAAATGGTAAATAGTTCAGACTGACTGGCGGACTTCTTTCATTATGAATTGAAGTCTTTACAAAAGTAGGAGGGGGAAATTTGTCTTTACTGCGAGGGGAAGTCCAAGGTGTTTTCCGCTTACGTGATATTACAAACTTCAAAGCACGCGCTCTTGCCCTTATAAAAAGTTCCTTAAAGAAGTCCCTTTTTAATCTTTTGAAAATTATTTAATAAAAGACGTTCCGGCCTGATAAACCCCTTTATTTTTAAAGTTTAAAAAATTTTAGGATAGATAGTGAATTTTAGCAATGAGGAGAGCCAGATGGGCTTCGTTTTCCCCCATCCGCAGATGACTTGCATTATCTCATAGGCTTTCACTGTAGGAAAGATTTGTGTGTGTGTGTGTGTGTGAGAGAGAGAGAGAGAGAGAGAGAGAGAGCGTGTCCCATATCATACAGAAGATTTCTTCCGCCAAGTGAAGATCTCGAGTTTCTTCTTCTTCTAGGGATAGGGATAAATGAGGCGGCCACAAGGTCTTACACCCCTCGACCTAAGTAGATGTACTCCTTTACTTTATTTATTTATTTTTATATCTCATTGGCTAGATTCAGGTTCCTAGTCAATCTCCATACCCTTGCCAGAGGCTCCTACGGTAGGATCTTGCTTGCGACTTTTCCTCTATTAATTGAAAGATTCTACACTACGTCGACCAAAAGCATAAAACGAGTTCTGCCGTTTCTCTTCTTCCTAGTAGTATCTGCACAGTATTTGTTGTTGTGAAATAGTAGTACTTAAGTACTCCTATCTGGTGCATATACCTTCTGAGGCGGCTGTGCATTGTCAGGAATCCAACCAGAATGCTAAATCTGTTACCTTAAAGTAATTCCTGTCCTGAGGATGGCCCTTCTATGAATCTCTTCGCGTGCCTCATGCCTGGAGTGTCGCTCCACTAATTTTTAGACTCATTAAGGATCCGTTTTTGGATGTATGATTTTTTGCGGCAAAGTGCTAAGTCACAGTAGGGTTCGGGGCAAAAGATTTTTGGCCAACATGTCCATTTTTTCATTGTTTCTATGTCCGGAATTTCCAGGGTCAGATCATTGGGGTCACTGTTTCTGCCTGGGATTCCGTACAATGCCATACGCTTTTTGCCATTACCTCGCATGAGGAAGGTCTTAAGTATACCAGCTTGACTGTCAGAGAAAATGTCTATCTTCCTGGAATGTGTTTTAGTCTTTTTATTCCACTGGCGCACAGTCCAATTGCTACGATTTCAGACTGGAAAACTGCAGCGTATTAAGTTTAAAGTCAGTTATCTCAATCAGTTTTTGAGCCGTATATCAGTGGGAATTAGTCTTCAGAAGAGCTAAGCTAGCTAATAATCTACGCTATCACGGTCCCGACGTGGGTTTTGGTTCACCTTATTCCAATTTGTTTTTGTTTTTTTAATATATATTTATTTGTAGCCTATACGCATATTAGAAATGTGATCACTGTACGTTGTTCTTATCACACAGCACTAGCACTATTGCCAGCGTTGCGCCCGGAGGACACATGGTATGAGAATACTGGCACTCAAGTGTGCGGGATTAAGGGGCAAGAAGGTCTCGAGACCATTGTCGAGAACAAGGCGACGTGGCGGGTTCTTGGGATGGGCTCGAGTTGTAGGATGGATCGAGAAGTTGGTGTGAAACTTTAGCAATTGGGAACGGATCAGTACATTGACAAAAGGAATGTTGAGGTCGTTATGGATAGTGAGATTAGGGTCGTAGTAAGGAGATTTGACGATTCGTCTGAGGACTTTTGATTGGAAGAATTGGATGCGATGGGTGTTGGATGGCTTGGTAGAACCCCGCAGTTCTACTCAGTATGTCCAAAGTGGTCGCAGTAAAGTCGTATATAACGTTAGTTGAGTATTGACGGTCAAGACGGATTTTGGTCCTAGGAGTCTTCGTAGTTGTCCTTCTGTTAAGTTGCTATCTTTTAAGTCTTGTGTGGGGATTCCACGTCAGTCTGCTATCTAGGTAAAGTCCAAGGTATTTGGCTTGAGTGGAAATCGGTATCTCTTTGTTGCAGATGTATAGTGGAGGGTAAGTCTGTTTTTCCAATGTGAATGTAAACTGAGTACATTTTCCTTCATTCAGTCTTCCACTTTTTGCACCAGACTTCGATAAGCTCAAGGTTGGATATTGGAGGTAGCTTGGGAAGGATTCGAGTTAGAGGACAGAATTGCGGTATCGTCCGCATAGGTTGTGATTGATGATGGTATTTGGGGTATGCGGGTAGGTGAGCAGTATGCATGATGTAAAGTATAGGACCAAGAATACTCCCTTGTGGGGTCTGATCTCCGAGAACTCGTTGCCGCACCTCACTCTGAAGCAGCAGTCTGTTAGGTAGGATTTCAGGATAAGATAATGAGTGATTTTTTAAGTTTATAATTCTAATTATAAATTTCATTTTCTTATTTCCTCTACAGGTTTATCCAACGTTGCAAAATGGGTTGTTTATCATATAAATCTAAATTATTAAATTTAAAAAATTATACTGTGTAATTTTGTATTGTAGTTTATTCTGATACGTCTATTCTCGCTGTTTTGGTCAGAGGCGTTCGGTTTCTCGCCATCTTCAGTGGAGGGCTTTATCGCCTTGCTTCACGTTGTTTATACCGGTAAAGGGCAAAACAGCGAGCCTAGGCGGAACAGAATGATCAGAAATGGCCAAATTATATATTTAAACAAACAAAACGAAGCAATCGTGCGAAATTTGAATTAAAGACGTTAGGGCTAGACTATGAACCGGAAGCGAATCGGTTGCCTTTCTTTTGCTCATAACCTGCCGATTTTCCGAATTTCTCACCCCTCCATCGCGCTGTATAAACAAAACAGTTTTTGCGACCGACTGTCATATGTTTTTTTTGTTTTGTTTTCATAAAGGCCGAATGTCGTTCTTTTCCTGCTTGCAATCCGAAAAGCAGGCGGCTGTCAACTTGTCGTTTGACAGTCTCGTTTTAAATCGCCCGTCGGACGGCCAGGGACCTGTGAAGCCGTGTTGGGACAAGATGATGGACCCCAGAACGATACCCGACGCAGAACGCATCATCTACGACCTCGTCACCTTCGAAAACGTGTTCATCACCTACAACAGGGACGAAGACGTCGTCGTCGAGTTCACCCTCGACCCCCAGGTGAATCAATTATTATTTCCAGCATTATTGGCTGAACATCGCGTCCGAGACCCGTTAAACGGTGAACAATGCCCTCGAGAATGTTCTTTAATATCGTATTCTAGCATTTGCCAGTGAATATTCTGATTCAAAGCAATTAGCTTTCGATGAAATTGCTATTTTTTACGATGAATAGAAAACAAGCGAAGTAGTACGGGATTTACTAACGTAGCCACTACCTAACCCGACTGAATCCTGCTACACAGGATACCGCCTAATTAGGGGTTTTATTTCCTTTTTTTGTAACTTTAATTAATGGATGTCCACGGAAAATTGTTTTAGGACAATTCCTAGACAACCTGTGTTCACTCACCCTCGCTGTTTCGCATCTTCGGTGAACTCCTTGGCTCATAAACAATAAGCAATGTTCCTCTAATCTTGATCGTTTCCGTTCCTTTGGACGTTTTGGTCTGCCTGTCATAAAATTAGCTTAGAGTATTACATATCTATTTGTTCAGCCCTCAGTTGTAACTATACCAAAAATAGAAGTCATTTCCGATTTAGTTCACCATATTAATAATGCCTTTGATACCCCGGTGAGAGTTACTGTACTGCCTACGCACCAACTCACTTTTATGGGAAAAATCCTTATCTATGACGGGGTCATCGAATGTTGGCATCGGCATTTTCGTGTGTCACTATTTGCGCTTAGTCGCGTTTTTCGCCGTCTTCAGTGGTAGGTTGCCGTCTTTTGTCACTCTGTCCACAAAAATTTGATGATCCACCTCTCTTATCACTATTGAAGATGATAAAACGGCCAAACTATGATGAATGTAGACGACCGAGCTATACTCATCGACCCTCATGATCCTTAAATAAATATGTCGGTTTTTGTTGATGTCTATATGATATCCTCAAATAATAAAGCAACAGAGCTTTAACCTCAAGAGGAAATCACACAACGCTCAGTTTAGGGTTTTTGGTTGTAGAGTTCTTACAACCCAAAACCGGATGTGTTTTCATGCTTCCGGCCTAAATGGAAAGCATTAGCAACGTTGAACATGGGGTGGACGTGGTTACTACGTTGTTTATTATGTTGATAGTAACGACTGCCCCACCATGTACTATGAACAGACTAAACAATTTTTAAAAAGGATTGAACACCGCACACTCCACCATTCATTATTTCTAAACAATTTTTGGCTGAACGCACTAAGGCCTAAACATATGATTGCAGAAACCATAGTAGAGCGGGAATGGGACTGTCGAAACATTCAATTGAACACAAACATAACTTAAAAGTTAAGTTAAATATTGACGACATAAAAATTGTGGACTATGAAAAAATTCTAGGGCGTAGATTACTCAAAGAATCTATGTATGTACAAAAAGATCACAATGCTTGCAATTTGTGCAAACCGATTACAATAATAGTAGTACGATTTATTCAAGTTTATTAACAAAAAAAAAAAATATTTTTTTAAATAATAGATTGTAATCTAGACAATGTATGTACATAGTATTTATAAGTTCTGATATTTGTAAAAAAAAACCTTCCAACGGAGGGAAATTTTTCATTAGTACGTTGGATATTATGTAACCGGCCTGTTATCTTCTTCGAGTGAATATAAATAATGCAATATAATGTAACACACAATATACGCAATATAATATTGTGATAAAGAAAGGCATGTTTGTATTTTGTTACTTGTAACGTGATTTTCGTTATTATTTATAAATTTATGACATTTTTTTGTAAGTCCTAAACAAAAAAATGTGTATTTCTTCTTGAATTACTACATTGATAAACGACTACACTACAATGTAGCGCCTTGAGAAAGACTAAATTCATAGCTGAAAGCTTAACAATAAAACAAAACCTTGCTGTTTTATCTTGACCACAAACCCTATAACTGGGAGCCTTGAATTAGCTGGTTGATAAACTACATCGCCTTCAATTTTAGGTCAGAAGGTCATTAGGTATCCATACCTGGTACCTATTAGTGCTTTCTATCTTCTTTTCTTTTGTATTTATTTTTTGCCTTTAGCTAAAATAAATCGACAGCACATTATGTAGTCCCCCAATACCCCAAGTACAAATTATGTAGTTATAGGGGGGTAATAGCCCTTACTAGGAAGGTATGAACTCTTCCAAAACAGTGTTCACCAGTTCAGAAGCAGTTTTTACAGTCGACTAGGCCTTATCGGCCGATTTAAGATGTTTAAATTCAACAATAATCAAATTATAGAAATGCTTCATCAATTCGTTTTCAAAAAATAAGTCAAAACATTTTACCAGTGCAAAAAAGTATGAGGTAACTGAATCACCGTTTTAGCGATATTTTGACTACGGGATTGCTTCTTTTTTAGGGTTTTTTTAATTGTATAATATTCATGGAATGAAGGTTCAAAATTATTTTTGGGTCTGTCAACAGACCGTCCATCACAGAAGTTTCCATGATTTTCGTATATCGGAGAATATTACAATTCAATTAATGACTTATTGACACAAGGATTTATAATAAAGTATTTATCCAGTTCAGGAGGCCCTCATTTAATTTAAATCCTAGAAGAGGATCAATTTCTACCTGAATTTAGGATAGGCCATAACGCGGATGACTAAAGGCTACAAGAAAATATTTATTTAGAAATCATGAGATGCGGTCTGGTGTGATGTAGGTTTCAGAAAAATATTTTCTTTATCGTGTCAACGTTTCGATCTTTATTGAGATCATCTTCAGGGCTCAAAGTGTTTTTCTTCTGTGTAATTGTGCCATGCTTGCGTGCCGTGTTGAGAGGGATGGGCACAAACTTAGATGCAATGTGAGATTGACTGTATTTATTAGAGTGAGTTTGGTATGTGACTGATTTGGTGAAATATCGGAATCAACCCTTAATTAAATTAATTTTTGTCAGTGCTAGTCCCAGGGCCAAACTTTAGTAGAACTTTTAACAACTCACAATTTACCATGACAAATGTAATTCCAGTAATCAAACAGATGGGAAAGTTGTCCAAGAATGTTTTATTAAGCAAAGATCTTTTAGTCTGTAGATATTGTTAAATTTCTTCTGATAGCGGAGGGGCAACGAGGAGGCCAATAAAATGGCTGAGGAAAGTTCAATTGGGACATTTCTTTACCCTGAACCCTTTTGTGGCATATCAAATGGACCATGGTTTAAAAATAAACCTGGTCCAATGGAAAAATATCCCTTAAGATGTGCTCATTAACAGACTCGGATCGATATTTATAGACTTGGAGCTTTTTCTCTCTTAAATTTGTTAATTTTTTTGTTAACAATTAAATAATATAAATGTCAGATTTTTTCTTGTGGTCTGAGGGTTGACTGTTTATATCAGATACTTTTCGGCTTCTTGCCATCTTTAGTAGTGATACAGCAGACCAAGACTGTTGGCTAAATGGTAGAAAATGACCTGATTTCTGTTTAGTTCTAACCTTCTAGATACGTATAGTTTTATTCAACGTTTTCCTGCACTTTGTGTAACTTTTCCTGCATTAGATGAAGAAAAGTTCAATCAGGGCACCTAGTTCTGAACCCTTTTGCAGCATATCAAATTGCCAAAAAAGTCAAAATAATTCCTGTAATGAATATGTTTGTATGCAATAACTGAAACAAGCAAAAAAATTAATTAAAGGATCAACATAGAAACTAATGGCAGATCTACTAAACCTTGGATGTGTTTGAAATAGAATGATAGTAGGACTGCTGATGTGACGCTGCAATTTCCAGAGGCATATGTATAAACTCGGGCCAGTAGAACAAGTCTGTAGATATTGCCAATAAGAAGAAAACAAAAATCAGTGGAGCATGTCCTTTGTTGGTGCAAAGACCTATGTAGGATGAGATTCCTAGGTGAGCTAAAACAAAGGCTTGAAGGAAGCCTTTAACAATGCTTTGGGATTTTACAAATAGCTTTAAGCTTAACGATAATAACAGATATTGCACAAAAGACCAATATCGGCAGTCTGCAATTTCATAAAGACTACTTTTAATCTTAACCTTAACCTTGGTTGGCAGGAAGTCTTGGCAAGGTCTGACTGTCAACTTCTCACAGTTTGCTAAACATGACTGATTGGAAAGTCATTCCAGAAAGTTTTATTTGTTTTTTATGACTTTATGATTTCCATATCAGCAGAGCATAGTATGTTTGCTGTATATCATACTTTTTGGAGCTGGAAGGGGAGAGCATGAAATAAAGTTCCAGAGACGAGGGTGGGAATCGAATCCCATTCTGTGGGTTCTGGGAGCTGAGAGTCTGATAGGCTAACCACTGAGCTACTGCACACCTCGACCACAGTATTTTTAAATTACAAGATTTCTTCTATTCGGTGATGAACCTATAGCTTGGCCATTTTCATCTGCCTAGTTTAGCTGTTTTTACCTGTGAGATGCATTTCAGCTATTTGCCATCTTTGTGGTGAGTATTGTTATCTCACATCACCCTGCTTACATCCCTGACCAGCCCCTGAAGAGGGCAGAATACCAGAAAGCATCAATTAGACTAAAATGTTCAAAAACGAAAAAATTATCAGTCTTCTTTCTTATTTAATACCAGAGAGTTATTGTTGTAGTATCAACAAATGCAAATATAATTTTTATTCTGAAAACAAGATTTACAAGTGTAAACTTATGTAATTTAGTTATTTATCTATAATAAATTATGTTGTTTTCAATTTTTTGAGTTAGCAGTGGTTATCGTCCCAGAAAGCACAATTGAACTTTCTGTCTCCTCGATTCTCCGCTTCCATGATTAATTTTATCAATATCTGCTAGTCTGCCTATTTTCTTCCTTTCCTCAGTTGCCTGTCTCAGTTTATTTTTGTGCTAATAATGATGGAGAGAGAGAGAGAAAAAAACCATTACATTTGTATAATTTTTTATGTGTACAGATGAAGGCATCGACAAGAGATTGGCTAGGAATATATCCAGCAGGTTGGTCTTCCTATGAATCATTTGTCACCTACAAATGGGGAATCGGTGATCCAATCAACAACTCTTGCAGAACTAGAAAAATAATTTTCGACCCGAATGATTTAATTGACGTTAAACCAGACAGGCATTACCAATTTGTCTATATTAGCCAACACCTAGAGGTGAGCGAAGCATTTTAATTTGTGAAAAGCCTTTTCTTTAAATACAATTTTTTTGTTCTTTTAGATAATGGGAGTTAGTCGGTTTTTTCAGTTTTGCACAACAGGGTTTGATGATCTGGACATATCAAAGCTTTCATGCTCCGACATTTACAACTCTACTCAATATGTCAGGTCACCGAAAAAGGCTAAGAAGGTATATTAGCAATAATACCGTAAAGCTAAAACTTAAATTTTTAATTTCATGTCTAGGTTGAAAAAATGAAGGACGCAGAAACGGAGACATCACAGGTTACATTCGCCCCGACTTGTAGTATAAATTTACCGACAGACCTTAGCAAAGTCTGTACCGTCTGTAGTAAATGTAAACAGTTGTTCGACTTGATAGAGCTCCAAGAAGAGCTGAAACTGAAGGTATTCTAAAGTCAGACATTCTTATGCCATTTAATACATCTGAAAAGTCTCCCAGGTTGAAACGTACGCCGAGAAAAATGAGGAACTTCAGTCCCGAGTCGTTAAATTGGAATCGGCTCTTGAAAATATGAAACTGACAAACGCCTCACTCAGAGACTGGAACGAAGAATTGGAAAAGAAACAATTCCAGAACTTCATCGAAGAACTTCGCAGTAGGAACCTGATTGATGGCAAAGGCGACAACAAAAACTATGTAATTTAAAATACATTGCTCGATTGATTCCAAATTTTAAAATGTGTATGTTTTAGGTTGTAAAAAGCACATTTCATGATGTACAAACAGATTTTTACCTAGATGATTTCACTAACAGAGAAATCATACTAAAAGCGATTATTGGTAATCAGGAGGTCAAAATAAGGGAATTGACTAAAGTTATATGTCAAGTAAGTCGATCAATAGTTCTAAAACTTTTATCATCGCCTAACATTTTGTTCTTCTAAAAATTTAAGTCCGTCGCGACTACCTATAGTACAAAAGTTCTTGTTAAAACAGCAATTGTTAAAATAATTGAAACATTTTGAGGGAAATAAAAATAGAAGGGACAGTAATTGCCATAAAAAGGTCCCTCCTAAATTTGCATGTATATTATTGATTCAGATTTTTATATGCAAATTTATAGCAATTAGGGTTGAATAACATTTGTTCCATTTTTCTGTTTAACTTGCCAAGTCAATTTCATAAATTTTATAACAGATAAATTGATTATCACATTTCAGAGTTTACATTATTATTAGAGTTATATAAATAGTAATTGTTTGTTTCTTTAATTTTTGGTAGCCCTAGACATTTAACAAATTAATTCCTAATTCTTGTATTTAGTGGTACATTTAAAGTAATTGTTATATGATGATATATTGATATAAAGTAATTGTAATTAAGAAATGAGGAATGGGGGGCTATCTATGACATGAGGCAGAGAGTGCAAATCGGATCTTTCTCACAGCGGGTCTATCAAGGCATGCTCAAATTCTTTCCTGACCGAGGCTGGACTGCTGAAGTTGCAGCTTAGTGCAAATCAGCTGGTTCTCACCCTAGACTCGTAATGGGTCAATCACCTCATCCCAATTCATTCCTGACCGCGGCAGGACTGCTGGTTCAGTAGTTACCAAAATTGAATAAAAACTGGCTGTGTGCGAGGAAAGATAGATGAATTTGGAATTGCAGCAGATAAGGGGGATGTCATCCTCAGTGAGTGACTTTGTACTCAGAGTTGTAGAGATAGAACATGGATCCTTAGTGATAAGGTTGATCGGTCCTCAATAGCCCCACCTACTCTTGTTAGAGAGTGCTCTTCTGGCCGGATGCTACAGATTCCTCAATAATAGGATATTCTTGCTTATTGTACAATATATGCAGCTTTCTCTTGGATTATCTCCTGTCAAAATAAAAAGTCTAGAAATATTATCTCTTTCACCTTTTGCCCTCTTGTGGGGTGATGACCTCAACAACCCAACAATTTTTTTTTCAAGAATACCAGCATTTCGGAGGGTTCATATAACCTCATAGTTGAAATTATTATATTTCATTAAAGAAATTAAAAAAAAAAAAATAACCTGTCAGGAAATCAATTTGGAGGTAAAAAGAACATTCCATAGATGTCATTGGAGTGCATGGCACAGTTCAAGAGTAAAAAAAATTATACCATTGCGATTTCATTGACGTCAAATGGGCTTTGTATTTTGTCAAACTGACGTTGCTTAGAGTTAACAAATTAAAATTAAAATCAGTACTTTTTTTACACATACAGGGAAACCGTTTGTATTTGTATTCTTCCAAAAATTCAAAATCATCAAACGATCAAACTGACATTGTCCTCTTAACTGCCAGAGTAGGTATTAAAAAGCAATAATTTGCTATCATGAAAATGTAAATGTGGTGTTTACCCAAGATAGTGACGATTGTGGCTGTGACAATTGCGATAGCATTCTCAACTATGAGGCTGAGCTAGACATTACATAGAGTGAGTCCTCTCATTACTGTACAATAGTATTTCTATCAAGATGGCTAGAAATTACATGGTGATAATGATGATTGTTGCTTTAACGACTATCATCGTGTAAACCAGCCTTAGGGTCCTGAGTTGAAATCTCAATGTCCATGAATTTGAACCCACAATACTTACAAATGTGGTTTTTTTTTCAAAAACACTGGAACCCTGAGGTAGATATGACCTGCTGTTGCAACCTTTGTGGGAACCATAATTATTTCTAACTTATTTTAATTTTATATCCGCTGTTAACCAAACAATACCATAATGTGACAGGAAGCGTATACTTTTTCAGTCCCATGTGATTGATCATCATGTATTCCACGCGTTGCCTGCAGTTGTTGAGGACGTTGTGACCGTAACGCATACGGATGAGAAACTATTGCCAGAATTGTGTGAGGTCAACAACAATGAGCTGGTGAATTCCGACGAGGAAGATTGACACAATGGCTTTTTTAATTTTTTTTTTTAAATAATAAAAACACATACATATATTGTTTTTTCTCTTTTGAACCCCAGGACTACGGGTTGTTGAGATGATACCGAGGTACATTTAAATCAAGTCCAAAACAAACAATATTTATTTAAATTATAATATTTAAATATAAATATCACATTCAGTTGTCAATATATCAGACTCTTTTCGATCTAAAAATTATTTCTTTTGCTATTTTTTTTTAAATTTTAATTCATATATAACAATAGTGAACATTCTCTTTTTATACATTTTAATAAAACTATATATCAACTGACTTATACGTATAAACATATTGTGTACAAATAATTAACAACTAGAGGGAAACTTCAGCTCTTCAATGGTATTTCTAAAGGTTTGGAAAACCGCTTTGAAACGATTTTGATGCAATTGGCTATGGCTACTATCTGCGCCGGTTTTAAAGTAAAATTCCATACTTCTTCTATTCCTTCTTTGCCTAAGAAATGAAGTGACAACGAGTCAAACTTGTTCCTTTCCTGTGGGAAGGTTTATTTTAGAATAGAATTACAAATAAAATTTATTGAGAAATGTAAGAGGGGGATAAAATTAGTTAAATTGTGATATTTCCCCTTTAGGTAAAAAGGTTGATGAACTGGTAGCATGGTCATTTCCTATCATTTTGGTCTGCCTATCCTCGCTATTTCGGCTTCTTAACATCAATCGTGGTTTAATGTTGATAAAAGTGACTATGTTTCTTTTTAATTTTTCTATACCATTTGTCACCCTTTTGGCTTGTATTAGTATTTGCATGTATTATTAAATACTAAAAAGTCCTTGGTATGAGTGCAGTTTGATTTTCTGTTGTCTCAATGACCTGGGTATGATCTTTGTATGCCTTATTTTTAATCCTGTCTGTTCAATGTGTTGTTCTCCACAATCCAATGTTATTGTATATATGCTGTTTTGTCTAATATTGACAGGAGTTTTTAAATTGCATTTGTTATCCTTAGTGGTTTTTAAGCCTTATTTGTAAAATAGCTGGAGTCCTGCTAATCCTGATGCCCGCATAATCCAGAAAAAAATATCAGTTTAAGATTTTAATGGTAAGTTAGTGTGGCTTTGCCCATTACAAACTCTATTGCTGATTAACTTGCAATTTAACACTTAAATTGTGAGGTCTGCGAGGCGACGAGCCTTTATTTTGGTCCTTCATAACATTTTTAGTGTTGGGTTTTAATAAAAATTATTATTAAAAACTGAGGATGGCAAGAAGCTGAATTGCATCCGATAGAACTAAACACCAAGAAAAAATGAAAAAAGACAACTACATTATTGCTGAACTGGAACAGGGTCTGTCAACACTTGTGGGCTTTTTGATGTACCTCACTGAAAATGATGCCAAACCAAAACATTTTTGACTAGTAATTAGTAGTAATAATTGATATCGTTGGTGACGCGCAGACCAACACTGGGTTTTTATAGATTATTGACTGTACTCATTGTTCTGTAGTACAGCTTATTGCTTGTAGTCTGAGCCTTTCGTTGGTTATTGTTTCTGTTTTTAGTCAGCCCCATTTAGCACTTTTATGATGTCTGTTGCTGGTTTTCTGTACATGACTAAGTGAAATTTATTTCCAGTTTTTTGTATTATTTGTGTGTTATGCTTCTCTGGAAAATGTTATGTTTTTACGTAAACATTTAGGTACGATCTCTAGATTGAACAAAATTGGAGAAATACTTTCCTGAAATTACGGCAAAACATGACATGCTCGTCAAATATTGCATAGGCAGGCCAAATTGATCAGAAACGACCAACATATGAGTAAAAGATTAGTCCAAAAATTACTTACAATGTCTTTAAGCCTGAGCAATTCCTGGCATGAATGAATAGCTGGGACGTTGCAAGAGCTTAGCCAGCTGAGGTCGCCGGGGATTAAATAAAGCTGTCCGGGCGTTACTACAAGGCTTCCGAGCCTCATTACTTCTTCATCGACTGAAATAAATAAAATAAAAATTGATTACAGCAAGTATGTGTTTTTTAATGCTTTATTATTATAGTAATTTTTGTAAGCTCAAACATTAATTTTTTTTTTGCTTTTAGTATCAAAACCTTTGTTCTTGATGATTTGGATTCGCTTGAAGATTGTGAAATAGTTGACAGTCGGGTCGAGACAGGAGCTGCTGAGCTCGCAACTCACTACAGCCTGCTTTAGAGACACATCTATCTGTGGGTTCCATTTCTTTGCCACCTTCAGTTTTGACAAGTTTAAATCTGAAAGAAATAATGGTGAAGTCTAATATCACAACAGAATCATTCGACTTAACTCACTTTTAATACTGTTCAAAAGGTTTTTAGTAACATTCTCATCCAGGAGTAAAAGAAGGTAGGTGATGTTGTTGATTTTAATTTCAATCCCTTCATTTTTGAACAGAGGAGTGATATATTTCATTTGCTCGCATCGGTACGAATCACTTTTGGCAAGCCAATTACACTCGGGTTCACTGGAAAAAAATTAATTAAATTTTCTTTAAGAGGGTTATTGATTATTTTTTGGCTTTTTACCTGAAATCAGTATTAGAATGGTACAGAAAATACACAAACGACGAGGACAAAACAAAACAACCGTCATAGTCGGACCCACCTGTTTTCCAGACATGGCTCTAAAATAAACACAACATCTTAAATATAACGAAAGATTGGACTCGTGTCGAACTCACCCTCACGAACACCCTTAGCTCTTCTTTTTCACTCGTGAACAAACTGTTACGAAGATACGTTTCAATCCTTTGATCGACATTACGGAAATCGGTGTACGAATAAATGTCCGCCTGCTCGGGTTCCGTCTTGACATGGGCATCTAAGAAGAAAAACACGTTTCTACCTTGCGACCTTATGTCTAGCATAATTATTTTGGGTTTTTTACCCTCAATATTTCATTTTGTTAGTTCATTGACACTGTATTGATGATATAATTTATTTTTAAAAAATTCATTTTGTGCATTTCAACTGTTCTACATACCACATTTTGCTTCAGTCTGTGAAGCAATTAATAAAAACAAAACATTTAGGCTCAACAATCTGAAATGTTGAGCTTTGTCAAGCTTGAGTTTTTTTGTTTTCTTTTTAATGTATATAAAATTGTGTTCCTAACACAATTACACACTGTACACTGTTTCAAATAATACCACACACAAGTTGACGATCAAACAATGCAAATACAAAATGCTTTATAAGACTAAACGACCTACACTCCTTTAGTAAGTCAATGTTCCAATGTTAGTCACCTTCGTTTGTATGGGTTGTTGAGTCATTATCCAGGGAGTTTTCGTTCTCTTCTAACAGCCATTCAATAAAGTGGCGTTTTGTATTATGAAAATTATCGTAAGTGGTTATCACACTTTCTGTTAATGAGCCTAGAAAACGATACGTCAACGTCACAAATCAATATGTGTTAGTAGTCTTGTGATTTTTTTTCTCTCAATTTACCAGATGAGCTGCTTTCGGTCAGTGCGGACAAAGGCGCAATGACTTCGAGGACTGTACCTAGCTGGGGGACAGCGACCGTTTGCCTCTCTTCGCTAGATTTCTTCCTGCTCGGGGTTGTACTTTGCGATCTGAGAGAGGGAGGACAAGTTACTTTGTTTTATTTCTGATCTTAACAAAGCTGGGGAGAAGCTTAGTGTTACCTGCTCTGGTCATCAATGACCTCAATACTACTTTGACTCGGGTTACTTAATATTTCAACATCGCTTTCGTACCTTTTTGAAAAGCTCGGGTGCCTAGGTTGATCTAAAGACACTGCTGAACCTTCAAATTATAAACTCATCATTTTTCTTTTTCTCATTAATTGGGATGAGTAGATATTAATGTTAGACGTGGTCAAGTAAGAGGATTTAACCCAGCAGCCATTGTGCATCGTTTAATTTCATGCAAAAAATCATCGAGCATGAAAAAGTTAAGTCCAAAGTTCTCATAGTATTTTGGAGGAAAAAAAATGTTAGGGAAACTTTCAATCATGCAACCATTCATCCATTGGTTAGGTGGTAATAAACTGATCCATTGAAGCTGGAACGTTTAATTTTGTCATAAATGTTATGTAGAAAACTTAAGTTTCTACATGCATTCATGAGAGTCGATGAACAATTAATTTCAACCAAACAGATTTCAAGAAAGCCATCAACTTACAACATTAATTAGTTTTGATTTATCTAAATCTCATCATCAACTTTAGTAGTATACAAACAGCATTGTCCAAACAATTTTTTTTTTCAACGTAAAAGAAAAACAACACTGTCCTTAGGTATTTTCTAAAGCTCTATTTGAAAGATAATGAGAACGTGGCAGTGTCTAAAGTCAGGTTTTTTTTGGTCAGCTTTAAAGCTTTAAATTGTTAAGCATTACAAAATAAAGATAACCTTAATAAAAGCGTTTTATTGCGAGTAAAAATAGACATACCAATACTAGATTCAGATGGGGAATGACAGATGGCTTGCTTGGATGGAATTTTCTTATTCGGTAAACGTGGTTCTTCTATTTCGGCAACTTCGTAGGACCCGCAAATCGTGCATTTGATTTCTGCAATGCAAGACACAAGTCTAAGTGTGAATATTTAAATCAAATTTGACAAAAAAAAAAAAAAAAAATTAAAATAAACTAAACCTTTTGATTTTTTTATATGGACGAAAACGGTTGTACATTTTAAGCAGCTGTACGTCCCTTGGTCCATGTCTGTCAGCGCCTTCGATTCCAGGATGTCATAAAGCCTTTTCATCAGGCTCTAAATCATGAAAATTGGAGTGAAATCTTCCTTGAATTATATTAAAAAGTTTGAATGTAAACCTGTGCATCGGGGAATTCCATGATGTAGCATCTGTGTTGTTTGCTTTTCTTCGTGCTGTCAAACTCCAGTTCAATCTTTATTGGGTTCATCTCGGTTTTGACACAACTGCGGATTGAGTCGAGGTTCCACCTCGTGATGATTTTACCCGACTTTGTGCATCTCTCCTTGAGCTCTCTTAAAATCACAGATAATCACTAAATTGAAGCTATCGATAATAAATTAATTTACTTTTCTAAGAGGATGAGGAAGACCATCCGGGAAGTGGCAGTTGCTTTGTCAAATATTTGAACCTGCCACATTAATTCATCATGGACGTTACAATCATCATCATCAGTGTCTTCGTCACTCGCCTCCTCAGATGTGTGAGCTATTGGTGTATCACTGTTCTCTTCGGTCGTGTCCTGATTCGACTTATTTTGAGATTCGGCTAAGCTATTCGACGATGCATCTAAATATTGTTCTTTGTCTTCGTTTATGTTTGTTTCATCATTGGAGCTAAATTCTTGCCCGTATTGATCAATTTTTTCGACCCCCTGAGAAAAATTGTTTTCAATCTGTTCTAAATTTGAATCGTGCTCAGTATCTTCGTTAGAATCAGATTGTACATTTTCATCAGTTGTTTGGACCCCATGAGAAGAATTTTCAATCTGTTCTAAATGCGAATTCCGCTCAGTATCTATGTTAGAATCAGATTGTACATTTTCACTTAAGCCGTTCACCTGAACCGCACCCAGGTCGTGTTCTTGTTCTTTGAAATGATCACAGCTTTTCTTCTCAGTTTCTAAGTTATCATTTTTGTTTATTTCTGTTTCAACACTTTGAGATTTTATATCGCTACATACAACTGCTGGAGTGTGAAGTATTGCCGTGGTTGTGGTCTGAGTAAATATTTCTCTATCGTCAGGGGAGCTATTACACGTTTTAGGTTCACACTCCGCTTTGCTTTGTGAAATCTCAATCTAAAAAAGAAAAGAAAAATTAAAACATTAGAATACCTTTTAGTGAAATGAGAAATTCTGGCTAGCCTTTATGAAATCTTAACGTTTCCTGTAATTTGTAATATAATTTATTAGCCATTTTCATGTAAATTGAAATGATACATAAATGATAATTGTTCAGGGTGTTGAACCTCTAATTTAGTCATTACTGATCATCCTGGTCTGCCTATCCTCATTCTTTTGTTCAGGATGATCAGTAATGACCAAATTACCATTAGTTAATTACCGAAAAGACCAACTTCTGCCTATCCTCACTCTTTTGTTCAGGATGACTAATAATGACCAAATTACCGTTAGTTAATTAACACAAAAGACCCATTTTCCATTTTGCTTAAGTTATTGAGCACTATGAGCTTTTGTCTCCGGGAAAAACTGTCACTGGAGAGACATGCTATGTCATTTAGGATCAGTTAAAGTTTTCATACAAAGCAATGACAATGCTGCATGATTTTCTTGGACATGCAGTACTCTTAGTACTATATAAATTATTTAATAATCAAGATATTTTGGCAATTTTACTGAAGTTGAATATCTGAGCACTCAAAAAGTGTACTGTCATTCTTCTTTCATCCAGAAAAATTGATTTCTATTTTCCATACTGTCAGAATTGTGTTGAGCATTTGTATCTGGGTTACACCATCACAGGAGAGACCTGCTGTGCCATTCTGGACTATTCAAAACTTGGAAATTCAGCCTTAGTTATTAAAAAAGGCCAATTACTCCTTCAGGATAGCTCCAACATATAGAAAATTGTGTGCTATGAGCAGAGGCCTATGGGTCAAAGTGTCTCAGGAGAGACCTGCTCTGTGCCATTCTGAACTGTAGTCATTCACAACTCGATTTTTTTAAAAATCCAGACAGTTATTAAAATTGATTACTGCTCCTTCTGGATAACATTTGCCTACATAACGTAAAAGTTACAAAGGAAAATTAATGGACATCTGATCAGAAACTCTTTCTCTCGAGACCTGTCATCAACAGATTACCACCTTTTCAGACCTCTTGACAATAGCCTTAAGCTAACAAATTTTAAAAACTGACAGTCTAAAATCTTGAGTTGCTTCGTTTTCCAAAAATTATGTTATGTTGTTTTTTTTAAATAAAGAGATTCTTGGCCTTACTTCCTGTTGGGAGAGCATAATTGGACATCAAATGGGAAAAGTGAAACAGCTAGATAAACAAGTACTGCAGAACTTCATTGATGCTAAGAAGTTTTTCATATATCTATCACTTCTTAGCTTCCAACCTAAAAACAGATCCAAGTTTGGATAAAATTATCACTCGTGGTGAGAAAATCGGCCCAGTACAATAATTTCAGGGTTATCAATGAAGAAGAACCAATGAGCTTTCCTAAGCCTGACCTTCACCAAAAAAAAGTTCTCAGAAGTTTCAGAACTTATGCATCTGGGTCCCCAAACCATCAAATGACAGACTCATTAAAATTAAAAATTTTGATGCAGCTTTGATGCAATGGATCCAGATACAAACCGCTGCTTCAGGATATTGCTTACAAACCGCAAATGTTAGGTAGCCTCTGGGTCAAAGTGTCACAGGAGAAATCTGCTGTCGATTAACCGTTTAAAATTTTGATATCAAAGCAATGAATAAAATGGTTTATTTCTACATAATAATAAAGGTCGCCCAAACAATGTAAAATGTATGAGGGAAAAATTAATGGACATTGGAAGGGAAAACTTACACCACATACTCTTACACAGACACCTTTTCAGAGCTCTTAACAATAATCTTAGAAAAATTTTGAAAATTTACAAATTCTCAAATCGGGGTCGAATTTACTTATAAATTAAAAATTTACAAAATTAAGGATTTTTGCTGTTTAAAAAGGTATATTTTTGAACTTGATTTTAATTAGGTGAGTGTATTTGAAGCAAATGGAGACAATTTCAATGTCTAAATTTTATTTTTAATGTTAAGATTCTGTGGCGGACATGGTATTTCATATTATTTGTGAGATTAAGTACTTATTTAATAAAAGTATGGTGGAAATATGGCTACTCGTTTCAGTTTGCAGTTTAATCAAACATATTGTCATTTTAAATGTAAATGTAAATAATATAAACTTGATTATTTTATTGTTCTGTTTTCCTGAATTTTAAGGATTTAATGTTCTCACTTATGCAAAGGGTTTGAGCTATTCAGTATTTTGGCGTGAAAAGAACCAGTTAACCATCCCCCCTCCAACTTACTTTTTTATCTTCTGCAACATTTTTTATACCAGCCAGCAATTCGTCATTGATCTCTTCTTTGAGGTTTTCCAAAAGTTCAGTTTTGTCTGGTATGACATTTTCCATAATTTTTTTATTGACCTCAGCGTCTTTTTTATTGATATTGGTTTTTTCTTGGTTCATAGCCTCAGGGTCACAAAGACTACTGATTGTCATTTCCCGTGGCTTGGACCTCCTCTTGGCCTTTATTACTGGAACGGAAAAACAAATCAATTTAATAATAATTATAAATAGAAAAACAAACATAAGATTGGAAAATTGCTAATTACACAACTTCAATCAATATTATTTTATCATTGCATAGTGCATTCTAAATTGACTTTCACCATTTACTCCAGGGTGTATGAAATACTCACTTTTTACTGGTTTTTCAATCAAATCAGGATCCAATATAGCGTCTATTTCGCCCGATTGATTCATCGCATCATTTTTCGAAATTATGGCAGAACCAAAAACTGATTTTTCATTGGTGTTTAGCTTCACATCATCGATGGAAAACTGGAAAATAAAATTCTCTCACTTTAATAACGGCCAACTTCGAGTCACAATCCGTTTTACCTTGGGGTATTTTGAACAAATTGAACTCGCAATGTAAATCCTGTAGAAGTCGTTGTGGGAAAACGGATTGTTCTTCATGGAAATCTGCTGAAGGCTAACGAGCGACACAAGGGAAAGAAGCTTAAACTTGCTGGCTATCCAGTTCCATGAGAGGTCAAGATCGGTCAGCTTTGTCATATTCTCTAATCCTATAGCAAAGACATGTTAAAATATAGCATTCATAATACACAAATAGTAAGTAATAAGTAGAGTTTTAAACCATTTATGACATCTTATGGATCAATGGAGTTTTCTATAGTATTGACTTTTCAACAAGTTTGTACTAAAAGAGAGAAAAAACACTCAATTTTCCAATTTATTCTTCCTACAGTATCAAAGTTAAAATAAATCATTTATAAATAACCCCTTCACCAAATAATAGTATTTATTCAACCAAAGTTCTCAATGAAGTCTTGTATTTTTATTTAATCACAAATTCAGTACAGAAAATTAGATTTATTTTTATTGGCTTCTATTATTCTTTCCCAACAAGAAGAGGGCAAATTGTACGGGGCCATTTTAACTGTTTTACTTCTCCCATTTGATGTAGTTAATTCCCAGTTGTGCTCTCCCAACAAGAATCAAGGGCAAAAATGTATTTCCTAATTTTTGGAAAATGAAGCAATTTAGATTCGAGTGTTTTCAAAAACTTGTCAGCCTAAGACGATAGTTGAGAGGTCTGAAAATGTAATCTGTTGGCAATAGGTCTGGAGAGTAACACTAAGTTTCTTGTCAAATGTCCATTAATTTTCTCTCATAACTATTACAATGTGTGGGCAAACTTTTTTTTAATCCTGAAGGAGCAATAAAACATTTTAATTCTGGATTTTAAAAAAATCAAGTTGTCAATGACTGCATTTTACAAAGGCACATCAGGTCTCTCCTGTGATGGTTTGACCTTAAGGCCAAAGCTCATAGCACATAATATTCTATGTATGGGTGGATCCTGAAGTACTGAAGGAGTAATTAGCCTTTTTGAACAACTAAGCCTGTATCCAAATTTTTATGTTTTGAATAGTCTGGAATGGTAGGTCTCTCCTGTGATGGTTTGACCCAGATACAAAAGCCGTGCAATTACGACAGTCTGGAAAATAGTAATTTTTCAAAACGGCTTAGTAAATTTCCTACGTTCTTCTTTATTGAACAATAGTCAGAAATTATTGTACAGGGCTAATTTTATCACTGCTCGTGATGATACTATCTATGGATCTGTTTTTAGCTGGAACGCTAAGCAGCAAATAAAGTATATAAATGAACCAATTTGGTAGTATCAGTTAAATTCTGCAGTACCCATTTATCTAGGTTTTTACTTTTACCATTTGATGCAGTTAATCCTGGATGGATGATTCAGAGCTATTAAGTCGAAAAACTGTATTTGAACAGGAATTCAATTAAATCTCTCAGTTTCTTATTTATAATTGTTCTTTGCCCTTAATTAACTTGTTGCATCTTGATTCATTACCATTACGAATCAACAAAAATCAAAATTGTGCCTTTTTTTAATGGAGAGCACTTCATGACTGAACATCAGGCATATGTAATGAGCAGTCTCAGTCCAATTTAAACCAAGTATTTACACAGCAGAACAGAGCAAAGTTTAGATTACCTTAATTAATTAAGGTTTTTAGTTGAGATAAAAAAGTCAATGGCACGAGCGGGATTTGAACCCACGATCTTCGGCTTGATACGCTGCTGCTCTACCACTTGAGCTATCGTGACCTCGATCCACTCGGACACCAACTTTTTTATTACTATTATTGACTTTTTTATCTCAGCTAAAAGCCTTAATTAATGCATAATATTAATTGGTCAAGCGGACCACGAAACTAGTGAATTTAGATTCAACATTAACAGTATATTGGTTTTAACTGTTTGAATGCTAAAAAAGACAGAATTTGTATTTAATAATAAATAGTAAACACTTTTGTTTATCTTAGACGTGGTTGTATTATAATCAAACTAGTAATAAAAACACCTAAGCCCAAACAAACAAAATTATTTTAAAATAAAGACCGGACACTTTTTGATGGGTCAGTTATTCAACTTCACCAAAATTTTCCAAAATGTTTTGAATATTAAATAATCTGTAAACTATGGAGAGCACTGTATGTCTGGGAGTGTTGAGTCCTTGTTATTGCTTTTAACTGTTTGAACACTCAGCAATAACGTGTTTAAAGTTTAATATCATCTTTATAAATAGTAAATAGTTTTGTCTGCATTTGTTGAAACAGTGGGGATTTTTTATTAACTAATATCGTTTCAAAATTTTGAACCAATACAAACTAGCACAACAGCATCTCTCCTGTGACAGTTTGATCAAGAGGCAAAAGCTCTAATGGAGACCTTAAACCTTGGTTTTTTGCTTTAGGAAACCAAACAAGATTAATTTAAAAGAAAGACAGGACTTTTTAATCAACTGTACAGTCAACCAGTTCTCAGATTAGTTTGACAATAATGATTACCACGTGGAATCGAGCAAAAGCTAGTTGCAGACACATCCAGTACAACTCATTTCTGGGATGTTATAACTAGCAATTATGCAATTACATTACAAATACAGGTGTTTTTTTAGTATGCATATCATATTATATGCAAAGTAATACGGTGAAACCTCTTCCTAAGGGATAATCATGGAATTACTACATTTATCCTCTTTTGGGGGGAGGGGGTCTCCTCTAATGAGAAAAATTTATTAACACAAGGCTTTATGAATATTTATATGTACAGATTTACATTTTGCTAAGCTGTAATTTGTTAGCTAATATTCTTACACTAGGTCTACCAAACTGTAAGATTTCATTTTCAATGGCCTTGCATATTAGCCAGAGTATGATTCCATTGATTATTTCATCATAACCATCATTCTTTGAGGGAGGGGAGGGTTGTGTGAAAAAAAGGACCAGAGGTGACAGTGGAAATCCATCCCAAAACCCGCGGGGTCTATTAGCTGAGAGTCTATCATGCTGACTACTCGGTTACCGTGGTCCAATCTGTAAGAATCAAGCACTTCTTTTCTTTCCTTTAAATTCAACCTTCGGAACCGATGAATTTCAGTCCTATGAGCTTTTCTCCATGTGGTGCATGGTCAGGAGCACAGATGTCGACACACCTTTGTATTGGGCAAGTGGGAAGAAAAAAAAAAATTGGTCCTTAGAGATCAGAGCACATTCCATATGTGAACTTAGGGGTGAAACACATCCACCCATAAGCAGAAGTGCATTGCTCCCACTTTGAGAAACCAACATCTGACAAGGCTATGAGCCAGGTGAGGACAAAAAAGAATCTCACCGTCTTCTCCCAAGATGCTATGTTACAGACCAGGAAAACTGACTTTAGGACAATACAAGTGTTGTCGTGTCCTATGATTAGAGTAGTTCTACAAGTAGAGGTGTTAAATAAATAGAAAATGAATCGTACGAGTGTATCTGTAATTGTCCTTTAAACGGAAGTATCTCCTAAATATATTAGTTATTTATTGGAGGTTTCACTGTAATTGGAATTCTAAGGTCTGTTTGATATACTTTTTACTTGGTTATGAACAAAAGTAATACCAAGAAGACTTAAAATCTAAAAAAGACTGTTTCACATCAAAAGTCTAAGTTTTACTGAAATTTATTTAAGAAAAATTAAAATGAGCTTAAGGATTAAATTTATACTAAATTAAAAATTGTGAAAGGCTTCTTACCCGTCAAGTCTGAAAGGAAATTGTGATCGATTAGGAACACTTTCAGCTTGTTCTTTGTGCTGTCATGCAATTTGGGTATTTTTGTCAACCTGTTGAAGCCTAGGTTCAGGTAGACCAAGTTTGTTAGGTTGGCCAGCGCGTTGCACTCTTTCAGGTTGTTGTGGCTGAGGTTGAGCTCCTGGAGCCATGGCATGCTGTTGAGGAAGCCGAGGTTGAGTCCTTCAAAATAGCGGAACTTAAAATGGAACTTATTCAAGCTGGCCCATTGCAGTTTGCCCTTCTTCGAGAAGTATTCTTCGTCTGCACAATTATTGGTTACGAGTTCTTGTAACTGGCTCTTGATCTGGGAGCCCTTCAGCTTTGACACAGACACGTTTCTCAGCTCCAGGGAGGTCAGCTTCTCGAACCTGCTCAGGTCGATCTCCTCGGCGAACGCCTCGACGGACCTCTGGGTCAACGACAGCCTGGGGATTTTGGCCAGGAGGACCTGGAACGACTCCAGCTCCTTCCTTTGCCCATCTGTCAAAATCACGTCCGAGTGCTCGCATTCCAGCACGTCGAGGAAACGGTTGAAACGGAAAAGAAGAGGGGTCTGGAGCACGAGGGTGTTTTTACCAGAGAGAAGATCCGCCCTTTTCGACAGGCAATGCACCATCAAACGCAACACTGTCTCCAGTTCATTTTCCATCGTATCGACTCATCGGACGGACAAACTCATCCTTCGTATGAGAAAATAATATCAACGACTGACACCTTGCAACGTCTGACTTTCTTCGATTATCTCTGTTCTCGTTTTTGACGTTTCGACACAGCAACCTTATCAGCGTGTATTGTGAACCTTCGGCTGAATCATTTTTGATGACGTCATTGATATTGTACAACACCTCGCTTTCAAAGGCGAAGTTCCTTAAAGAACGTACTAATCCTCCATCTTGTAAAAGTTTCATTCGGCCAGGTTTATTTATACATTTTACATTTCAGCTCATTCTGCTATTTTTTCACCATGTCCGAGTATGAATTAGGCTCGAGAGGAGCCCTGAAGCTGAAAGGAGACGCCGGGATTAAAAAGTAAGTAGATTAATTATTATTACTATCATTTATTGTACCAGCATAAATACGAAGTGTGCAAATTTTTTAATCTATTCAACTAAAAAACAATTTCTCTGTCAAAAACTACGATATGTGATGAAAAAGTTCAGAAACTGTATTTGGAAAATGTTCAACCGAACAGAACAAGTGCGATGTTCAGACCGAATATATTACGTTATTTTCTTCTTTTTTGCTCATTCTTTAGCCTACAACAAACTATCGTTCTGAAAAACATTGAACATTATTTCGCTATGGTTGCAAAAGCCAAAGGTTATTGCCATTTTATATCTTCGAGTTTGCTTGTAAAAAAAAAATTAAATTAATTATTCTTTTTATGTAAGGTCTTGGCTGAGATAAAAAAGTTTAGTATCACGAGCAGGATTCGAACCCACAACTTTTGGCTCAATACGCCGCTGCTCTAACCACTTGAGTTGTCGTGACTTCAATCTACTCGGACACCAACTCCCCATCGCAACCTACAATCATTCGCATTTTTACTACTTTTTGCCATTTTTCAAGTGTCATGTAATGAGGATTCAATTCTCAGCGACTTATGAAAATGGCCACAGCGAGCTGCTAGTGATATGATTACTTCTTAACTTATTATATTAATCCATTTATGTTTAGTGGTCTAATTGACCATATTAATTAGTTCAATTAAATATTCTTTTTATGTAAGGCCTTGGTTGAGATGAAAAACTTAGTGCCACGAGTGGGATTTGAACCCAAGACCTTCGGCTCAATACGCCGCTACTCTAACCACTTGAGCTATCGTGACTTCGGTCTACTCGGACACCAACTCTGGTTAAAGCAGTGGCATATTGAGCTGAAGGTCGTGGGTTCGAATCCCACTCGTGACACTACGTTTTTCATCTCAACCAAGGCCTTACATAAAAATAATAATTAATTGAAATAATTAATATGGTCAATTAGACCTCCAAACATAAATGGATTAATAAAAATAATTTTTTTGTGTGCTAATTATAAATCAGTTGACGAGTTTTAAATTTAACAATTTACCCCATTGTGTTGTGTTAAATATGTTATACTTGTTAAGACCTGAAGGCATTTTGAAGTTCAAGGCCTACTTTTTCTTCTTTATCGAGGAATTGTCCAGACACTGTTCTGCCGCTCGCTCAGGCCTGAGGATCAGTTCAACATAATCCCTTTGCCTCTAAAAATAGATTCCTGGTTCCTCACATAACCTTGATAGATTCACCATTGAAAATGGAGAGATCGTGTTTTAGTGAACAACATTGCAAACATGTCATGTATAAATAAACCTTGGAGAAATAACGTGAAATGGAGTAAAGGATGTGCAGACATACTGAATAAAATCATAAGCCTAACTTCTTCCAATAAGTTGTGGGCAAGAGCTAGATGGCATTGCGCTCGTTACCACCGTGACAGAAAACTGTTCAATCATTTGCTAGACAGCTATCCATTGAACTGCCCAACTACCTTAACAACCAATATTCAATTTATACAGAATATTATTGACAATTTAGTATAGTTTGCTAGGAAAATCCTTAAATATAAAAAACACATTTCATCCCATCCAGTAGACTGATGAATCTAGAGCCAAATCCAAAGAGAACGTAGCTCAACACCTCTCTGCAGTGTCACGATCCATGTGGACACCCTAATACCACATCTTTTTTTTATGTGCTACCAATAATTATTTTATACTGAGATAAAAAAATATATAAGGAACTTTTTTTTATCTTTCAGGAAAAAAAAGAAGAAGGATAAGGAGAAAAAGATGAAGGTAGTAGAGGAGGCTATCAAAGAAGAAGCTGAGAGGAAATATGAAGTGAAGCCGACCAAAGCTGAGCTTGCCTTTCAGAAAATGCAAGAAAAAGTGGTAAGATTAATTTAAAACCCTAAGGTCACAGGTATGTCTCCAAGCCACATACAGGATACTCGATAGCTAAACACTAGTCAGACATCCACACAATATTTCAAGGATCTCACCGATGTGTTGTTCTGCTTCCCATTTCATGTAAATCATTTCTTAAAAGATACATTGCATGATGGACCCGTGGCACCCGACAGTTTATTGTAGACTGGAGGCCCCTGTTTTCAAAATTTGCCTTTTACATCTTCCTGAATTAGGAAGTTTCATCATCTCTTTACAATTTATGGAAAAATAAATAACAGAAAGAAGGACTATATAACTTCTTAATGATAAGTTGGAAAAACGATTTTTTGTTTAGTTATGCCAAAGAATTGGTAGCGGTTAAAACAGCAATGCATCTTCAAGGGCAAGAATATGATTTAGAAGCTGACATACATATTATAGTGAATTATACACAATTGATGAAACACTTTTCCACTTGAGGGGAAATTGCAGATTCATAGTTGATATGCGTAAGAAGCTAATATCCTACAATGTCATGGAAATACTCATTTCTACATCTAATATCTGCCCATCTTATTCTATTCGTCACCACCCATTAACATTTTTTAAAAACTTTTGCATTTTTGAATGTAGAAAAATTATTAAATACTGACTAATTGAGAGTTTAAAATGTCTGTAGCCTTCACCAAGACCCCATCTTGTAGCATAAAAGGTTAAAAATAAAATAAAACAATGAATTTACTCAAGTAAATTTTTAACTTATGTTTGCAGGAAATGGAAAGGATAAAGAAAAAAGCTTCCATGACTCACAAGCAGAGAGTCGAGGAGTTCAACAAGCATCTTGACAGCCTTACAGAACATTTCGACATACCCAAAGTCAGCTGGACTAAATAAATTCACCTATTTATTTTATATTTAATTTTTTTTTTAAATTTTTTATTGCTAAAGTGTACATTTTTGTATCGATAAACATGCACAGTATGTGCATTCTTGTTTTTTAAATCAATATTTATCATAAGATTGTAAATAAATTAAAGTCAGTTTTTGTATAAATAAAAAATAAACATAATCAGCAAAAATAATTTAATGGAAAACCTCTCTGAAGTTTATAGTATTAAAAAGAAAATAGATAGTTATTTTTATTGCTTTTTATGAATCATGACCCGAGGCTTCTGAACGTTTTGACTTGAACCCCATCTTGTTCATCTGTTTCTCCTTCGACAAGCTGAAAAAGTTAGATAAAATTATATTTGTTTGAATTATTAAAATTATCGAACACCCATTTTTACATTGATAACAGAAATTAAATTATTTCGCTTGTTTTTCTTTGGTTACCTCTAGCTCAGGAGCATATAAGGTGATCTTTTTAAAATCCCAGTAGAAAGTTAGGATGAAACTGCCGAATGTAAGCACTACAGACCATTCGCAGACACTGCTCGCCACATGCCACTCCCATCCCGGCTCGCTTGGCTTCCACTGCAATATCTCGGTGTTGTTAGCCTGTTCTGAAAAAAGTCAGAAAATCAGATGGTAAAGGTTTTTTTACTTCATGTCCCGTCGATTCTCACTTGGTCCGAATTGCGACAGCGCTATGTTTTGCGTGATCAAACCGAGGATGAGAAAGGTGACAGCGGACATCCCTTGGATTCCCCTGATTATCACCATGACCATACCGTGCATCTCAGGAACAATCCAGTAAGATAAGATGACCTAATGGGCCAAAAATAAATTCGAATTATGAACTTATTGCTGAATAATATTTCATAAGACTACCAACATCACTTTCCAGTGACAACTGGAAAATCAGTGTATCTCTTTAATAATGTGTCATCCTGATTAGAGTCAATATTCTATAAAATACTTTTTTTTTAAATATAAATATTTTTTTAAATATTGAATGGCACACATCTTGACCAAAAACTTAAAAAATGCTAGTCTTAAAAATAATATACATAGTGTATATGCAGAAAGGCCACCTCTTATTTAAAAGGAGTAACATCATCAGTGATGCGACATCATGGTGACCGATTCAGGGTCATGAGTGTGGTTTTCAGCTAAGTTAACAATTATAAAAGTGCAATCCGTCTAAAACCGCATTCTAAGGCTCTTAAACGCTCAACAAAGATCTGGGCATATCTTTGGTGACTAGTTCAGGTCGAAAAAAAAAACGATTTGGTCTGTGTAACCTCACTGGCGGTTGCCAGTTGGTCTATCAGCGTTTCGGCTTCTCGCTATCTTCAGTATGTCTCTGTAACGCGTCGGACAGACCAAAATAGCGAGGACAATATCAACTTGTGACATTTCTCAATGTTGTCTGCGGGGCGGTAAACCTGGAGTTTGATCATTTCCGATCTTTTTTGAACAGCACTGAAGCTGGCGAGAAGTTAACGCGTTTGACAGGTCCAAATAGCGAGCATAAAGGTACATTATCGATAGTACATAGTACATAACGACAAGATTTAATACCAATTTGTTAGACGTAAAAATTATTTTAATTTATTTTAAGGTAATAAAGAAGATAAAATGGTTACGAACACGAAAAGAACTGGTCGAACAAGAATGTGCTCACAAGTCACAAGTAGGTGGTAGCTTTCATGTACTGTTCATTATGACAACGAAGATTTAAGAAAAAATAGTGCGCAAATTATTGCAACCTACAAGTCGTTGATGAAATAAAAGTATGAGACGAACCTGAAGTACAATGTACACGGCTGAGCTCCAGAAACAGATCATGGCACCTAGGTCGTGTACTATGAGGACGTTGGTCTCTTGGAAGTTGGCGACCAGATCCAGGCCGACGCACGCCACCAGGCCCGATATCGACGATACCCTGTTGACCAATTTGGCGCATTTGGCCGGAGTCTTGGACCTGAATATCTCGACGACCTGCTTATGCCGTACGTAGATGGCGAACAAAACTGCAAAGTAGTGAAATCACGATGGATTTTTTTTTAAATTCTGTTTTTGTCGAAGAACGGCGATTTCGAAAATGCTTACGAGCTGCAGCAGTCATGTTGAGCATCATGCTGAACAGACAGCTCTCCGGCGGTATCGTCCCAGTGTCGCTGATGTTCGGAAGCACCGGGTACACATGATCCAAACACACCGACCAAATGTACCTTTAAAAAGTTAATCATTTATATCTTTATAATCCTGCAAATTCGTATGTTCTAAACCGTTACGTTGCGATGAAGGTGGCAGGCAGTCCGATGAATATAACGATGGGTATCCATTCTACGAAGGTAGACATTTCAATATCAATAGTTTATTGGAATACAACACTTTCAAGTGTGATAAATACGTTGCGTCATATATAAAAGCTTATCTTTATCGTTTCGGTTTACTGAAGGCTCTTGACAAACCATCGCCCACTTCACGTTTATCATTTACATCCAATACAAACCTTTGGCTATTCCTCCGACTTTCTCTTCAAGGAAAACATCTTTACCCTAGCTATTTATTGAAGTGAGATTTCTTCTTGAAATCTGCGAGGTACGGGATGACCCTACAGCTTGGCTGTTTCCAAATATCCGATCCGTTTGGACTGACATACCTAACAGCGATAGACCAAAACGATCTGAAACACCCAAGATTTAGCTACTAATAGTTTATTTTTTACAGCTCAGAGTAACGAATTTCCAAAAATGTTCTTGAACCATGGTAACAATTCATAATAGAGAAAGAACTAACATGAATTCACTGAAGACGGGTCCTTCCACGGAAGAAGTTAAAATCTCCTAAGCTTTCTTCACAGTCTCAAAAATTTACATGGACTGCCAAATTAAATTACGGTGCTATTATAATGAAAGCTTGGTTGAACACACCGAATCGCATATCGGTTTCCTCTACCAAAGGACAACCATGTCGTGCTCTTTTTAGATTTGTACAAGCGATGGAATTGGCATAGGTCCGAGCTGTCGAAAGCCCCCGTTGGAGCCTAACCCCGCAGAAAGCGATGATCTCCTCAGCATCTGGCTTAAGAGAGATACTAGCGACCCAGCCATATAATGGGATAGATGAACTACCCTGACGTATAAACAGGGGGGTCAGCACAACGGGAAGTGACACCCCCTTCGGGGTGAAAGCCCGATTAAAGCATGGCCTTAATTAACACGTGAGATTAGGTGTGATATATTAGAAAACCTAAAGCATAACGAAAACCCACTGTCAGTACTGCATTTGATTTTATAAGGATTTTTTTGAGACCCTGGCGGCGGTTTGTCTCCAGCCGACGATCCATCTGTGGAGGTACCGCCGAGATCATCCTGATCACTTGATTTCGATGGTTTCTCATTGATGTTTGCAGCTGCCGCTAATTGTCTATTCTAATTTCAATTACTTCCAGGAGATTCAAGTCAGTCATGGAGCATTCTAGTTTGGATTGTCTGAAGTCTTTAAACGTTTGTCTTGAATGATGATCCCCATAGTCCAGAGGCGTATTGCCATATGGGGCGAAGCAACATTCACTAAAACGACCGTCTAGTAGAAATTTACCTGTCTTTTCCTATTGCGCAATATGCTCACCCGATTTGGATGTGGTGTAGTCAGGTCAGTTTCGACTCAAGATCAACTCTGTATCGGACATGATAGCTTGCGGAAATGTTAATGTTGCTTTTTATGCTTCTTCTGTACGTGAATGTTACCAGTGTGGATTTATTGGTGAACCATGACCTTTTGTACACCATCTACCCGACTTAGAAAACTTTGCATATTGGTTTCTGCCTCCTCACATAAAATAGCTATATCATCAGTGATTGAGCTATGATCATTTATTTAATGCTGGAAAGTCATACACATACAACAGATGAAGGAAGGCCCAAGGAAACCGCCCTGCGGAACTCGAGCTGTGATTGGTTAAGACGTCAAGGTATTGCATGAAAACACCTCACATAGAAGTGTATATATACAGGTTCAATTGTAACAACCTATTTTCTGGAGTCGGTCGAAAACGAAGAAGATAATCATGAGGAATATAAGAAATGAAAAATACAGAAGAAAATCTTTCATCATGGAGTGCAACTCGGAAATTGAAATGAGAATAAAGATTAATCAATTATATTATTTATTAATTTATAAATAAGCACATAATCAAAATAAACACGTCGAGATACTAATGAAGATGAGTGGGTAGTAGATTGGAGATAAGGAATATTATGTGAAGAACAGACAGGAGGAAATAAGTCAAGATTAGAACGAACAAAAAAGAAATAGAATTGTTTAAAGGCTAAATATTATTGAAATTATAAGAACTGCGTGACCTATCAACTTAAAATATTTATTTACCATCGATGAAATATGTAGTGAAAAGGGGGCTGAAACGTGACTGAAGTCTTTAATAAAATTGAGATTTAAAAGAATATTATTATAAGAAGAGAAGAAATTTTTAGAGCCTCAGTAGAAAGACATTAGATAGGCTTTTGAAGTGTTTATAGCCAAACCATGAAACCAACGAAATATTCCTGAGGGAGACTCAGAGTAGTAAGGAGTAAGAGCCCTCATGTCCTCAAAATTTCAAGATACATTTTAAAACCATCTAAAAAAAGAAAACTAATAGAAAAAATGAAAGAATCACTATCGTTAATAAATAAAATAAACAATAGCAGTCCTAAATGAGAGCTCTGTGTGACGCCAGAACAGAAGCATGAAATTCAAAAGAAAAGGAAGAACGACAATTAACAATTTGAAATCTTTCGTTAACATAATTTGGAAACCATGCATGGTATGGTAAAGGAAACTAGGAAGCGGGGTTTGTGCTCCCAGGCAGTGCAGCCTTCGGGCATATTGTACCTTCCTAGTTCCTTAGTTCAGTGCAATAGACTCAATCCTTCTTCTTAGAACTATCAGGTCATTGACCGTCGCTGCTAAAATTTCATTCCCTGGATTTTTTTTCGTTTATTAGGTTAAATCTCCATTGAGCTGTTGCTTCGCATTTGAAGATGATATGGGTGGCTGTTTCCTCCTCCTTATTACATAATCTACAGATGGGATCTTTGTTGTATATGCCTATTTTGTGTAGATGTTTTCTCAGATGCCAGTGACCAACCACTCCTCTGAGTTTAGCACTCTCCAATTGCAGCAGTGATTTGGCTAGTTTTGGTGAGGGTTGTTTCATCATAAGTTTACTTGTGTCTGGCGCCGATAGAGTTGATCAACTTTTCCTTTTGTTTTGTTTGGATCCATTCTGCGATGGAGGATTCTATATTCGTTTTCGTCATCCCAAGTATAGGTTCGGGGTATGATCTTGCAGATCCTCCTCCGGCCAGTCTGTCTGCTTTCTCGTTACCCAAAATTCTTCTGTGCCCTGTCACCCGAGATATCAGGTTGTGTTTCCCCAGGTTTTGGAGATTTGAATGATTTACTGACTAATTTTGACGTGATTTTTTTACTGCTAATGCTTTAATGGCTGCTTGGTTATCAGATATTATGAGGATTTTTTGCTAGTGTTACTTCTTTTAAGATTTTCCAGGGCACATGCGTTGATGGCCTATCTTTCTGCTTGTGCATTGCAAGTGTATTCCCTAATGAGTTTGACTGCTCATGTTTTGGGCTTAGACAGAAAATGCCCGATCCGGTTCCTTCGTTTGTTTTGGAGCCATCTGTCCATGTCACTGTATCTGATGATCTCCTGTGTTCTTCCTCTCTTTATTGATTCTCTTTATTTCTTTGATTGTTTTTGGAGCCTAAACGAGCTTTTCCTAGCCTCTCCTTGTATAAATATTTCCAGTGGAGGTAGGTTTAGCAGAGTTTCTAGTTCACTTGTAGAAGTTGTTCTCATTGCCCCTGTGATATATGATGATATATAAACTATACATGAAGAACACCAGATATCTCGTGGATTTTATGTAAAAGTAGGCCAATGTTTATAGAATTAATGGCTTAGATAAAAATAGATAAATGACAAAGGTGATGTTTTGTTTGAAATGCAAATAAGGAGTGTTGCAAAGTAATCACGTTAGTAACATTTGAACGTTGGGGCATAAAGCTATGTTTTCGAGTATTATAACAAGGGTTGCTCAATGTGTCATATTTAATTGAAGGATGCGATTCCGTGGCCCTGTAAAGAGAGCGCGTAGTAATGCAACCCGATTGAGCATTTTCCTTGAGCCCGGCAGCAGATACTTTAGTCCCCTGTTCCGAGTCTTAGAGGAAACAGGTTGTTTTATGGTATATCGTACTGATGGTTTTCTGTCCCTAGCGTGTATTGAGAGTGAATGTATTTATTGACGTGAATATGTAGTGTGACAAGATAGATGGCGGAGTGTTGAGTACCCCATCGACCTCATTTAGGTTAGTTATAAAGGGTGCCAGGCTACTCCAGAGTGGCAAAAACGTTCCTATGAACCATGGCCCGAATTTTCAACCCTTTCGCAGATATTCAATATTTTATGTTTTTTTCGACTATGTACAGTTTTTGTCATCAATCGACACGTAGCGCTTGAACTATTCATTTTTTGGGTAAATTCAAAAATCTATTGAAAAGAGCATTAAATCTCTGTATAACATAAATTAAACGTCTAGAACTTTCAATCTTTGATTAAAAAACACTAACTCTTTCAAAAACTGCTAAATTTAAAATTTGTAAAAAACTAAATTTCAATCTCGTTTGAAAAATTCAAGGTAGCGCTTGGCAAATTTCATAGAAACATCTTCGTTTAACTTTCTAGCGATATACCCTTTCTTTAATTATAATCGAACAAAAATTCAGAAATTTATGCTAAATGTGAAAAAGTGGTGTGAAAAATGGGGTAATGGGGTTAATCTAGTAATTCATCTTTTGTCCTGGGCACATTTTATTTTCCAACTTTAACTCGATCAAAAAACACAAAAGAAAAATGAAACAAAACACAGAAAAAAGAGTCAATACACATAACAAACAACCAAAGCAGAAAAATTGAATAAAATATCTATACTAAACGCAGAGAAAAGAAAAAAGAAGTTGTAAAACCCAGTCAAAACAAAAAATAGAAAAATTCAACTAAAAATCAAACAAAACACATAAATTAGAGACTATAAACATAGTGGCTCGGTGTGTCTCACATAATAGAGGCATGTCATGCCTTGGCTCCATATAGAGAGCGTGCAGGCATGCCGCCGGATTTAAGAATGGTTCTCGGAAACGGTAGCGAGTTTCAAGGTCCCCTGTTCCCCTTTTTATGGGAATTGGGAATTTTTTATTGTATACCCGACAAAATATGAGTTATGATTCTGTGTTTTGCATGTGTGAGTGTATTTATTAGCGTGAATATGGAGGGGCTGATGATGAAGTAACATCTCCATCGCCGCTCGAGCTGTGTACGTGATTTGGGTCGATCGCGGAATATTTATAAAAGTACCCTATCAACGCCAATTAGATTAGTTTGTTATTGTATGCAGGTCGATGGAGGAATAATGAGTGTCTACCAAATAGAATGAATGCAATGTATATAGATGTGAATGTATTTATTTGCGCGAATGCGTATTGAATGAGTGTTGTAATATTGCGCATGCGCTCGGGTCTGAAATGGCCAAGAAGTCGGGTGCCCCTTTATATATATAAAATAAATAAATCAACATAGTGAACAACCAACTTACGTTGAATTTTTATTTTTATTTATTTTTTTATTTTTTGTGAAAGTATAGCGTGAGAGGCTGAATATTAAGTATCTCAATTATGTTAGTTATATAATAGATGTAAAGGATGATTGAGGAATATCGAATACTCCACCATCCTGAGTGTACGTATTTAAATAAGGACGAATGTATTTAAGGCAGAGTGAGAGTGTGAACGGATTTGGATTTAGGTAGTGATAGAGTTGGGGGCTGATTAGCTAGACGTTGAGCCTTTTAGCCCAATTTTTGCATCTGGACGGATAAGAACGAAGTCTGACCCCGGATTTTCAAGTCCTGCCGGAAATTTATTGTCAAGGCCCAAAAGCTGGAATTCCCGGTGGATGGCGAAAAGGATAGACTCAACTCTCGTGTGTATTTACAATTATATTATTTATTAGTTATAATTTCGGTACGATTCGTAAGTTCACAGAAAGCTGGTTACTCTTTAAAACCAAACGAGCAAGCTAATAAATTGTACGTCAAGTTCGCCCCCTGTAAACAACACCATCTTTTTAAATAGGGATACACCATCCTGCAATAACCACCCAGAACGTCTGCCTCGTAATGTCAATGTATAAAAATTGTTCGATATTGATGCGTATTAATTATAAAATAATTAAAAATTTTCTTTAAACCCAAAAAAGGGCAAATGTCACGGGATTAAACGGTTAGGTGTACGTGGAGAAAGAAGACACGAGGAGGAGAGGAAGACCTCTTCCTAGCGTGTGAAGGAGGCCCAAGGCAGCATTTTACTTTGCGCAACTTCACGGGCCCCACCACGTTCGACCTCTCTCTACTACGTTATCACTCCCCCCAGGTGGACGGCTTTATCTGCAGGTCGGCTACTAGTTTTCTGTCATTCGAGCCCTACGGCCAGTGTAAAACTAAAAACTGCTTAATACAGTTATTCATATGGCAGGTTTTTTAATTTGGCTTCTGCTGCCGCTGCACTTTTCAATGGGTTGTTGCGAAAGGCAGGACGGCGGCCGGTCTGACCCTTTCAGGTACGTCGACCGGGAAAGGAGTTACCGGGTGAGCGAGAGCCCTCCGAGGGACGCCGGCGTCCGATTCCAGGAGTACGATCCTCCGGGGCGGGGCGTCTACGATTCCAGGACGAGGGAGAACGAAGAGCTCCTTGGGCGGTTCCTGGACACCCAGGACCCGAGGTACTACAACGCGGACAGGTACCCGGAGAAAAAGAGGCCGGACGTGAACGAAGAGGACGGAAGGATCAGGGACGGCACACCGCCGGGATTCAGGACGGACTTCATCCCTTCTAGAGAACTTATAAACTTACTATTTCAAGCTGACACCCTGCTTTCCCAGCAGTGCACGTCCAACGTCGACGCACAATGGGCATTCGAGACGAACATCAACGAAGCGACGCAACTACAAGCTGTAAGTACTTTCATTCTTACACACCCCTCAGACAGATTTACCACCCAAAAATGGCTTTTTTAAACAGAAATCATTAATCTTTAATAATACGCTTAATTATAATTTAATACTTAACTAATAACATCGAGATAGCACATTTGGGAAAATAAGGGCAGAGCACCATATCTTCTTGATCGGTTATGATCTATATTCAGATCATAATCCATGTCTTCACTTCAACTACCATAGTTTTCCCCTCAATTTTTAATAAATAATACTTAGCAAATTTAATTCAATTCTAGCCTTTCCTATCGGATAAATAATAAATAAAATAAATCACTCAAATTGTATTCAGTCTGATTGATAGACAACTTATTGAATTAAGACCATTGTACCCTATATATGATAGTCAAGAATATGGAATTTTGAGAAGAAATAACTAACTTATAAAATGTATATCTAACTAGTTTCAACTTGAAAAATATTATACTAATTTCTCATAGGAAAAAAGATCCAAAAAAGCCACAGATTTGTCTATTGTCTGATACTTCTTTCGACTGTGAACTGATTCAAGTTTATATTCTTTCACGCAAAAGTCCAAGCTTAAAAATACGCGCTTTGTGCTTAAAAATATCGATAGTTTTAAGTTTAACTTTAATTTCTAATTATTCAGAAATCGTGAGATGCGGTCTGGTGTGATGTAGCTTTCAGAAAAACATTTTCTTTATCGTGCCAACGTTTCGATCTTTATTGAGATCATCTTCAGGGCTCTTGAACTTTGAGCCCTGAAGATGATCTCAATAAAGATCCATAACCATAACCATCCCTATGTTTTTCTGAAACCTACATCACACCAGACCGATTTCTCGAATAATTATCGATTAACGGTCACTAATCACCGCACATTTAATTTCTAAAGACAGATCACGTATCTCCCAATGTCTATTGGAATTGTAAAAAAAAAAGTTTCATTTTACACTCAGAAAATTCATTATTAAGATTGTTCAGCTTTTCAGAAAGGAAAATGTAATAAATACAAATTATCTAATGGGCTGGCAAGTGTATTTAATTTACGGTGTAAAGACGTGAACTTGACGGGCAGGGCGGGATGAAGCTGTCGGCCAAGGTCCGGGCGGCCTCGCATGTTTCGCCATCCAAGGTGTGGGAAATTCAACGACCCGGGGGATGGAAACGGAGGAGCAGGAGAAAAAGCGACGGCGAATATATTTTCATACAACAATAAGATGGGGGGGGTTTCGATTTTCCTGTTTAAATTTCCCATAACAAATGGCAATACGTAGATAAAAAGAAGAAAGAGGAGAAAAGAAGGAAACAAAGGCTCGTTGTGTCTATTAGCGGACACAGATAAAAGTACTGACAAAAGACACTAAACAATAAATAAGAATGACATAACAAAGTACAACACAAAGATGAAATATCATTTTCAAAAGGCCCTTCAAAAACAAAGAAACAGCAAACTTTTTTGCATACAGAAAAAGAAGAACGCACGATACGCCTAGCTGCCAACATACTAGAAAAAAAACTATCCACATACAACATATCGAAAAACTGATTAAAAATAAAAAATAAAAGAACCACACTAAGGAAAAACGACCTACTCATTACAAGAACTGACAAATAATATTTTCTTTTCACTGTATAAAAGACCTTATAAAGAAATTTCAAAAAAACATAATTAATTCTGTCAAAATTACTCTCTCAAATAAACAAAAATGAACCTAAAACACCAATTAGTAATAAGTAAGAAGGAAACAAAGTATCGTTGAATCTATTTGCAGACACAGATAAAAGTACAGCCAAAAGACACTAAACGATAAATAAGAATGACATAACAAAGTACAACACAAAGATGAAACATCATTTACAAAAGGGAACAAAACCGTTAAAAAAAAGAAACAGCATTCCTTTTTTGCATTCAGATAAAAAGAATGCAGAAAAAGAAAGAAGAACGCAGGATACGTCTAGCTGCCAACTTACTAGAAAAAAAAACTATCCACACACAACATAACGAAAAACTGAAAAAAATAAAATGAAAGAACCAAACTAAGGAAAAACGAACTACTCATTACAAGAACTGACAATTTTAACTTTTCACTGTACAAAAGACCTTATAAAAAAATGCCAAAAAACATAATAAATGCTCTCATAATAACATTCAAATAAGCAAAATGATCCCAAATCACCAATTAGTAACAAGAACGGAAATGAGATAAAGATACTGGCATCTTTAATAATGCAAAAAGTCTGGTGCTTTTTCTTTTTAATCATGCTGCTATTAACATAATGGATCATCGTTGGATTAAGCCTTGGAGTATTTGGTGAAAGGATTCGGTTAATTGGGGTAGTTTTGATACCTTTAGCTCAGGAGATCCTTGTATCAAAGTTTGGATCATCACTGGAGTTTTTTGTAAAAGGATTTAATTAGTCTAGGTGCTGTTATGATCTTAAAGTAAAAAAATAATAGATAGCAATGGGAAAATAGTAAGGCAAATACTTTTTTTACAACGACAAGACTATAACAGGTTGAACTCCTTGCTTAAAAACAACAATATACAAAAACCGAACACGAAAATGGGAAAAAAAGAAAGAATCATATTGACTCGCCTGAGGATAGACCACACCAGGCTGACACATGGGATGTAACAGTAAAGCACATATTAATAGAATGAGAGGAATTAGCGCCGCAATGAAGAAGGTGGGGCCTGCCTGCAGATTTTAAACAACACAGGAATAGTTATAATAAAATATGTTTGGATGTCTGAAGATGATAAACGTACATGTTGCACCTATCGAGTCCTTTCATTTATATATTGAAATATTATACTCAATTTTGAGTGAATGTATTTATTAGCGTGAAAGTTACGGTATTTTTGTGATGGAATATCGAGTATTCATAAACACTCCAGAGTAGTCTAGGTTATTTAGTGTTATATTTATTTGCAGTGTGATAGGAAGGTACTGGCGTAATCAAATACCCTGAAGACTACCCTAGTGTGTGAACGAATTTATTTGCTTGAGAGGTTAATCGTCTATGGACACGGTCTGTAGAATATCGAGTACCCACAGACCTGTCGAACCAATTAGGTTAACTTAGGATAGTGAATGCATGATTTTACTGCGTGTGAATGTATTTATTAGCGTGAATATAAGGAGGGCGTCAAAGTGTCAATCTCCTTGCCAGGCTCCCAACCAAAGGTTTGGACTGTACATAATTTTAACGTAGTTGTAGCGGTGTCTCAGCAGTATATCGAGAAAAGTTGAAATCCTTACCTCAGATAATCTTTTAAATAGCATGAATGTATATTTTAATCGTTTTAGTTGATTTTAGTAACGGTTGGAAGGGTTAAACTTCAATGATAAGGGTTATAAAAAAACACTGTAAGGAAAATACTGAAAACTAACAGATATCATAAGTAACTAATAAATAAAAAGAAATAGAAAAATGAGTTGCAAATTTAATCGATAGAACGAAAGATGTACAGAGAACAACACAGACATTTGAATAGATCACAATCACATAGAAAAATAGACTTAAAAACTAACCAATCTATTTAACAAATTTCGTTCAATTAATTAATCTTTATGTAAGGTATTGGTTGAGATGAAAAAGTTAGTGTCATCAGCGGGATTCGAACCCATGACCTTCGGCTCAACTGCGAAGTCACGATAGCTCAACTGGTTAGATCAGCGGAGTGTTGAGCCGAAGGTCGTGGGTTCGAATCCCGCTGGTGATACTAACTTTTTCATCTCAACCAATACCTTACATAAAGATTAATTAATTGAAAGAAGTTATTTGGTCAATCGGACACGAAATATAATCTATTTAACAAACTAGGCAACCTTAACTAAAAACTGCAATAGAAAACCCATGAGACATGGGTAAGACAAAAAGGGCACATATAATATTTTTGATAACTATAATAAAAAATTAGATAATTATTATTCATTTTGCAATTATGAAATCTTTTATTTCTCAGGCGATTTTTTGTTTGTAAAAAACGTTTAGATTTAGTTTAGCGTACAGGTTTGTCAGAATTTTGACGTCCTGTGGGTTGCCAATAGTTCCATGACCAGAGTTTAAAGTTAAAATTAAAAACTTTTATTATTTATTTTTTGACTATGATTTCATTGTTTCTTTGGCATAATGTTATTTTTTTCACGTGTAAAGTTTGATATTTTGTCCGTTTATCATACTTTGTTTGTTAATTTGAATCGTCTAAACCAGGCAAACATGTGAGTCGATTTGTATGTGCTATTACACGTGCAATCCATGAACTGTTTACGTAGACTCGAGATGACTCAAGTAATTAAAATAGCTGACGTATATTTGGGCAATTAAGTAAAAAAACAACTTGGCCACCACACTCGCCTACATAGCCTTTTAAAGTTAACTGGCCAACTCTGTAAGTTCCCACGGCGTTATGTAATGCTTTCCTACAAATTATGAACTCTTCTCTTAAACTTCGGTTAGGTTTTTCATAGATGGATTGAACATGCTGTGACCTAAATTTGGCACTGGTACTTTGCCCCTAGTTTATAAAGGGACTTGAGGGATATGGTCGATACATTTTAAGATAGTCGTACATACGGCTTCAGATCTTGTTTCATTGACAATTATTGATTGATGAAGATGACAGGGGTGATGCCACTACGCCCTTTAAGTCTTTTGTATAGCTTTTGTTCTGTACTTGAGAGAAATTCAACTACTTAACCCAGTTGCAGCTGTAGTTTTTATCTTCTGTTGTGTTGTAGGTCCAAAATTCTTTCCCATTCAAAGTGTAAGGCCAAAGTCTGCCAAGAAGTATGTCTCTTCCTCATATTTGCAGAATTTCCACGATTCCAACATCCATCGTTCACCAATTTTTCCCAGATTCTCTTGAGTCAAGAAGCCTGCTAAGATCCTGAACCTTTTCTATGATTTCTCTCCTTTCAAGTCATGCCAGGAGATTTTTCGATCATCACGATTGGTAGGATTGATAGTTGATTTCAAGGGTTATGCC